GGCGACTGACCTCCCATTTTGGCTCGGAGTGCAGATTGAACGCTCTGGCATTTCTCTGTTTTGCACTAACTGCTCACAGAAACAGCCTTCGGACAACTGCTCGACTCCACAGATGACAAGCCTCAGATGTTCTGGCTGTAATCACGCTGGGTTACACAGCAGACACGGAGGCATTTGCACCCCGCTTCCACGGCCGGTTTGGCTCGGTGCGGAGATGAGAGTGTTGGATTGCACTCTTCCTGTGGATGAGGCTGGACAGAGGCACAAGCAGAAGATAGAAACATGGGAACTACAGCAGCCATAGGGTCTTCAAAAGAAAAGCCGACAATTGTGCACGCCAGCACAAGTTAACCGCCATTGTTTGGATCCTGCCTGTCCAACAGAAAGCAGGCTAAGTCTGCGACAATGACACTGCTAAATGAGCACATACAAAGCTCTACATGTGTTGGCTTTCCCAGATTCCACAAAAGCAACAGCTTTCAGGACTGTCTTCTGAGTATGTTATTTCAGGATAACTCAGGATATAGCTGTAGTAGACGCCAAGCAGGCAGGTTAAGAGTAAGTGGGCGTAGCAATCGAAAAGCACACTTCAGCACTCGCAGCACTTTATCATAAAATAACCGCTGGAGCAAACTGAGCATCGCAAATTGTTCAATTCTGCTCTCGGGGGTGAACATGGGTAATGATGATGAGAGCGGAGTTGTGCTAAGAAAGAGCACTAAGGGGAAATAAAACAGCTAAAGAAGAGATGATCATGTCCTCATCATGCTTTCTTCACCTGTTCGCTGCTTCCACCATTGTGAGAAATCATTCTGTACTGTACGCTTGAAAATCGAGGGTTCTGATGTGTTTAACAGACGTGTGCTTCTTAGTTATTATCTCCTCGTAATCCTTCTCGTAAAGAACGAGGATTTTCAATTCCTGGACCGCTGTAAAGACGAGCTTATCTCAGCGCTCAGCCAGCAGTGGCCTTTAATAAGACCCTGTGCCATGTCTTATTTCATAACCATGTCTTGCTTGGTTTTTACGATATTACATGCCATTAAAAATGTGTCCTCATGTTCTTGGATAGCACCGGTTAACTGAATACCTCTCTGTGTGTTTGGTGTGTAATACCTCAGAGCAGGAAGAACTGCAGCCTGTATCTGAAACATGTTTTCTGAGTGTCTGCAGTTGAACGCTATCCTTAGTCATTGGCACATTTGTGTGGTCTAACCACACATGCCCACTGACACGTTGGTATGTAGGGTGTGTTTGTGTAGTTGCAGTCATTTCCCCATGTTATGCACAAGCTCACCATTACGCCTACAGTACACGCTGTGCAGCTTTTTAGGTTTGTCTGCATGTTTGTGCATAGCTGGCATTTTATTGAGGATATCATCCCTTGGCCAGTCTGCCAAAGTGCTGAAAAGTCTTTTTTTTTCTCTCCAACATGTGCTGAAGTGGAACCGTCTGTCCCAGTTCCGTATCAAAGAGTTACAGTTTTTTTTCTCTTCTTTCTGATTTCCGCTTACCTCATGCTTACAAAACAGTGTGTGTTTGTTTGGTAAGAGGGTTGTCAAGTTACGTTTTCGTCAGGCTTCGAAATTCCAGCCCTGTTCCTTATGATTGGTTGTACCACTGGACCGAGACTTGTGCACCCTTCTTGCTGATGTTGTTCAGACATATTAGGTCATTGTGTGACCTGTTTTTCAAATACTCTTAGCCTACCCTACTGCCCCCTCAGTCTGAGCAGTGAGGTTTAGCAGAGGAGTGGCTGGGTCAAAAGTTCACAGTTGGATCAGATGTTTCATGCTATTATTTTGGGATTCATTATTCACATATGAATATAGGGCAAAAAAAAATTAGAAATCGTAATGAAACACTGAAAATTGACTTTAAAACATTGAGTGATAACAGGATGATCATATAGAACAGAGTAATTGACACGCCCTGTTAATAATATTGCTTTAAAGTGTTTTGAAAGTCATCAGTAGTTACCTTAGGTTTTAAGGAGGTAGCCATCATCTCTTTGGAATCTAAAAAGAAGTTCAAGACTGTCCAGGATGGTTTAAGTGTCTGTGTTTATTGGATGACAAACATCACATCATTATATTCCTGGCTTATTTAAGTTCAAACATTTTCGATTTGTGACCATTTTCTTGCCATTTGGAGCTAAACTTTTCCCATTGCAGCCGTAACCAAAATGGCAACGATCTGGATTAAAAAAATAAATAGCATCTCAAATATTTAGCCACTTGTTGCTACTAACAACGAAACAAGAGCCTCTCATCTTGGGAACCTTTGCACTGACTCACTTGTATCCCAGAATGGTTAAAAAAAACTTTTCCAGTCTTAAGTGCATTCAACTTGATTATTTTAGTCTGTCTGGCTAGAGTATATGGATGACGATGATGATGTTTGCAGCAGCCAATGTATGACCTAAAAGCCGCAAAGTGGTCACACAGGTGGCTAGGTCGTCTTTTAGTGGCTGAATGAAGAAGAGCAGCTCATAAAAGAAAAGTAGGAGCCCTTATATGCTCAAAAGCCTGTAGCTGATGGATAAACCAAACAAGAACCAGAGCCAAAGATTGCTCAGTGTTCTAGGAAAACACCCACAGGCCTCAAACAGATGGGTGACAGTGGTTGAAAACACATTTGAATTATCCACCTTTCAGTTTGGCAGGATGTATTCAAAGTTCTTTCTCTTGCCCCCCAACAGATGGACCATTGGGATCCAGTAAACACCCATAGTGCCAGTCAAAAAGGCAAGGAGGTAGACGGGCTATTTAGCAGCTATTGCTTGGTTGGAAGCTCCCCACTGGGGTCGGTCAAAAGGGGGTCAAGCCTGAATGTGCATTTCCACTTTGACGTTTGCATTTTTTGACAGATCCATTCCCCGTTCTTTAGGCACAGTTCAGTGGGTTACAAAAGCGTTGTCAACAGGGTGCAACGTCTCGATGCATGAACGTAGTGGTTTCGAATTTATGCCTCTTGAAAACACTTCTGTAACATCCTCTCTCGCTTTAACAGCAGCGCTCATTTCTGTGCATACAGGAAGGAGATGACCTCATACTGCTTTGCCTTCTTACTTCCCTCCTTTGCAAGCTGCATATTGCTCCCCGATAAGGGGGAATATAATCAGCTATACCAGAATCCTTCCAAATTTAGCGTTGATATTATAACAACAGTCTTGTTTCTGAGTTTATTTTTGGGAGTTGGTTGTGGGACTTTCTCTTTTTTGAGTTTTGGTGTTTTCCCTATGTCCGGAAGGCTTTACAAATCTCTTGGACAGGTCAGTGTGTTTGGGTCATAATCAGGTGAAAGTAGGCAAAAAGTTTTGGAAATAAATCCAGACCAAGAACAGCTGAAGTTTTCCTTACTTCTTCTTCCATTTGGGTCCACAATATCCAATCGTTGAACCCCATCATCCCTCCACAAACGAAAATGTATTTCTGCTTCTGTTAAAAATACTGATAAGGATTTGGCCCAGTTGTTTCAAGACAATTATGATTTATGGCACTCTGAGATTTGGGTATTATCTCTGATCGGTGGCTAAGCTGTGAGCCTAAATCCAATATCAAAGGAGTCCTTGCACAGATTGGAATTATAAGAGTTGCTCAAACGGAATATTTTTGCACTGGCTTCGTTGGGAAGACTTTGTTTCAGCAGGTCTTTTTTTTTTTTTTGTATTTTACGAGCCTCACATGTTCTGTCAGCCCGACTCAGGTTAAATAAGATGACCGCAGTCAGCACTCTGTCATACCTTTTAATTCAAACAGACTAAACCGGGTATTGGAACAGAACGGATGTTTCCCCTTTCTATGAGAAGTCTCTGTGGGAGCAATTATGTATGAGCAACTTTGCCTGTTATGAAATATTGATTCCTCATTTTCCTGCCATTTGGAACAATCCACTTTCTTGTATCCTTGCGTGTCCTGGAAGAAGTTAAATATTCTTTTTCTAAATATACTAGAGAGAATGTCAGCCCACTGTATGATATTGTCCAGAGATGTCATCAATGAATGCACGCTACTGGACTACATATAAGTCCACTAGTGTTGGTACATCTTTCAACTTGGGGAAGCCTTAAAGGCCTTGTAGTCGGTCATACAGTAGAACAGTGCAGCGTAAAGAGACAGTCCAGATCCAGATCCATGTGGCATGAAAGGAATCCTCTGTTGGCGCTGGCCACTAACTCCTGCCCCCCCTGTGAGAGACCATGGTTTACTGGTCTGCCCTCAGCAGACATTACAGTCTTTCATCTCTCAGGGGGGAAGGCAGCTGCTCCTGGACTCCTCCCAGCTCAGTGGGAGTCTGAATGCAGGACAGAGAATTGAAACCAAGTGGTGGTGTTGGTGTCGTGGAAGATTTGACAGCGGCCAACACCAATCAATAAGGCCAATTTAATTATACTGTGCATAATCTCTGCAGAAGTTTTTTTGACTAGAGCCAACTGTGAAAACCATCTGATACCATTAACAATGTTTAAATGAACAAGCAGAGTCTGATATTCCGTCTGGTCTTTTTTCCAGATAAGCATGAAATGTAATGTGTTGAAACTGTTGTGAGTAGTCCCTCTACTTGAAATGTCACATGTCTTAAAAACGGCATATCATCGATCTTTCCCAACGACAGTGCAAGACTCCCACACTGCAGATATTTTCACGTTTGACCATGAAAACAGATGAGTTTATCCAACAGGTTTCTTCTTCTGCCTTCTTCTTCTGTTATTTAAAGATTCCGAGCCAGTACACTCATTCTCATCAATTAAGTTTTGGAGTCACTTACGTCCACATACACATGCTTCGGTCATTATTCCACCGCAATCGATTGTATTAGTGTTGCGTTGGCTGTTGTAAACCGATTACGACCTTGGTGATGAAAAGCGCAGCCTCATGATTTAATTAAACCTTCTTAAGCTGCTGTATGACAGTTCATTCAGCCCCTGGGGTCCCTGTTGGGACTGTGAGTTTCCAATGAAGCATCGATCCCCATCTTCTCCTCTGTGTCATGTACAGACGGTGGACATCCATAAAGAAAAGGTGGCCAGGCGGGAGATCGGGATCCTGACGACCAACAAGAACACGGCGAGGACCCACAAGATCATAGCACCAGCTAATATGGAGCGGCCGGTGAGGTACATCAGGAAGCCTATCGACTACAACGTGCTGGACGATGTCGGCCATGGCGTCAAGGTGAGTAGATTTTCCGTTTTCTTCCAAATATTGTGTATAATTCACCCTTTTCCTCGTTTCCCTATGAGATTTCTCTGAGCTGGGTTCATTAGTTTATCTCTGGCTTCTGTTCTTTTCACTTTCTTCTTCCTCTACATCTAATTTTCTTCCCTTCCCCCTCCTCTCGTTCTTGCCAGAGGTATTCCTATCTCCCCTCCACTCTTCTCTTTCCTACTTTGACTCGCTTTCTGGCTCACACTCCATCTCTTGTGCTTTCTCTTTCATCTTCAGAAAGCACCCCTTCTGACCCTACAGGAATATGTTCCAGTGTGGGTTGGTGGGAACGGGTTGGGGGTGGAGATGAACTGAAAAAGTGATTACATCACATGGCTTTCAGAAAATAGCTCTATTCTTAGAGTGCTGTGAAAATGGCAAATTTGCGAGACCTTTTGAGAGGCACTTAGGCCCAAACCATCCTCATAATCTTGTTCTTTAGTTTCTCTAAACCTCTGCGGAGAAACGATGTGGTTTCTATTCAATTTGTAGTTTAAACTCACATCAGAGCGATCTTAGAGACAAGAAAGAATCTGATTCTGGTGTGATAAACTCTCCCATGTAGTTCTCTCATGATCAAACTGTGACATTTCCAATACCTCTCTGCTGCCAGGGCTCGCTCAGGGGGGGGGAGGGGGGTCACAGGGTTGCTCTGAAAGTGGTGGTAATGACATCATTTCCTGACGGCCCCAGGCGTTTTTTTGCTATCTCAATCCTCCTCTGCCCCATCAATCAGCCAATCAATCGCAGCTCTTACACAGATTGGATTAGAAGGCCCCACATTACCGTCCCGCAGCATTACAGGCATTGATAAGGCAGGATAAAAGCCATTGTGTCAGCCACAATTTACTGTGTGGGGAATTAGGTTGGACACTTCCAACATGATGGACGAGCGTGATGGCTAATGGGGAGCGGAGCATTTTAGTTGTGATTCTTACAACACAGTCAATATTTTCACAGATTATAATGAACATTTCTTCTTAAAACTGTAAAACGATGAAGTTTTGGACACAAGAAAACCATTTTCGGAGGGGGTTGGGGGATTAGCTATTTTTAAGCTTCACGAGGGACACAGTAAAACTCTCATACTCATCTTATGCTAAATATAAAGCTGGTGTCCGGAGGTCGTTCGCTTAGCTTATCTTATTTTAGTTTAACATGAAGACTATGGACTGTGAAAATCTCTCTCCAAACAAACATTTTGAGTTATTATTTTTAAATGCCATCTGAGTGTGAGCAAATTCAATAACTTTCAAATTACATAGTTGACAAAATGTTCTTGTAATTCCATTTTCCTGACTTAGTCCCTTAGGTGATTTTTTTTTTCTTATTAAATTATCTTTATTAGATTCTCAAAAAAAATATAGATGAACAATCATTCTTTTACCCTTCCTATTTTTTACATAAACAATGGAAAGTTACAATGTCATTAAAACAGAGAAACTGTAGATCAAATACTGAATCTAATGTGGTTAAGATTGTTTTGTCAACTACTGTTTCAAGGTAAAAAATCCAAGTTTTGATTAAAGGATTTTGGATAATTAAGACGTTACATGCTGCACAATAGTGTCAAATAACTGAAAGCACCGTGCTTAAGGCTGCTCTGAGGGTGTGCGATGTTTCTATTTTAAGAACATTACGCATTAGACTGGGCCTGATCTGACTCGGCTTTTTCTTAAGAAGTCTCTTCAAACGTTGTGCATTTTAGTTTGTGAATGTGTGACACAAACACACACACACACACTCACACATCTGACAGCATTCCTACATCACTCACCTCCTCTCATCCATGCATGTCACAGCCCAAAGAGCCAATCAATACCCCACATCAATACTCCATATTAATTCATATAGAGGCCTGTGATGGCTGCTGTCAGAAGCTCGCCTTGTATAGAATATCTATCGCTGTGGTTTACTTACCGACCAGGATCGATACTTTAATGGGAGTTTAAATCATGCGTGTTGCTTCCAGTAAACTGTGAAACGTGCGACAGCTGTTTGCACGGGCCTAAATGTACAACAAGTTTTAACAACAAAGCACGAGTTGTAACACAGAGAAGAGACAGTGTTGTGTCCACATCCATTATTAAAGAAGAAGCAGAAGCTCAGAAAAAAAGAAGAGGAACTGAGAGAAAAGAGAAGGTGCAATGCATCTAAAGTTAATCACACTCTTCTTGGAACACAGCAGCGTCGTATCAGTAGTGAGTGGAGTCTGACAGATCAGGCGCTTTCTGCATCTCAAGTCGTCCTCACAGTGACGTAATGCTTTTTTAGCTCTCGTATAGAAGATGAGATTTACTCCTCCAGTCAGCTGATGTTTAATCTAGTCAGCGGGGCTTTTGGGAATCCAACCATGATGATGTCAGGTGTTTGAAGTCTGATTGCAATCCTTTGATATTTCATGTTGTGTCAGTTATGAGTTTACCAGATTAGATTAAAGGAAAAGCTCCGGGTTTTTTGGGGACTTGGAATATTTTTTTCTTCTCATGATTGCTTTATTTATTTCTCTGCGTGTCGTTTGAATGTCTATTCTTGCAAGTCAGCATTAAGTAGTGAGGTACATTTCATGACACTGTTCAGCAGATAAGTGACTAGAGTGTCTGGATGCAAAGCAAACTAATACATTTAAGTTATTTTTCCATATAACATGAGATAGCCTTTAGAAGGAGTTCATTAAATGACTGAGGAGTTGGAGGTTTGCACTTTGCACTTACAGGCCTGTATCATTTCACTTTCTACAAAATAAACAAATAATATTCTTTCAATATGACGACCACAATGATTGGTATCTTTTTCATAGACATAAGGAATTTCCCTTTGGGGTTGATAAAGTATTCCTGATATACATTATTTTACGTTACTTGAAGATAGTCAATCCCAATTTGGCATCAAAGTGGCTACCACTAAAAATAAAAAAATAAAAATTCAAATAAATTATATTAAAAGATTAATTTAGAGTGAATTGAATTGTAAGAGGGAGGGAAATATTCTTATTGAAGTTTTAAGTTTATTTCTAATAATCCAACATGTTATTCCTGATTTTGAGAGTCTTCCAGCTTTCAGACTCAAAACAATGAGGAATGAACTAAAGTCAATCTTCAACAAACTGGGTCTATGTTTGGTGATAAACTCTGAACACCTGATTTATTCTTTTATATCCAAACATTGACTCAACAGCCTCCCCCAGCTCTGTCAGACTGCATTGCTCTACTTTTTCACCCGAGCTCCACACCTTAAGCCTTCTGGACTTGATAATGACCTTAATCTGAACCTGTCTGTCCACGATTCACCTCGGACGTAACTAAAGCTTCTTTCACACTGCCGGGCCGGGCCGGGCAGCCAAACAGAGACACAGCCTTTCCCAGAAAGATAAGGAGAAGCAGGCCCAGGCCTCAGCATTCCTCTCATGACCTACATTGTAAATAGAATCTCGTCTAGCGTCGATAACCTGGGGAGAGTGAAATGTGAATTTGAAATTTACCATTCACAGCTGCGCTGAAGGTGTTTTTTCTCTTTATTCATGCCGACCTTTGCCTTGAATTTCGCTTTCGGTTGCTTTTTTTTCCTCTCTCTCTCTCTCGTGGTCTTGTGATGCTGCAATGCTCTCTGCAAAGGCCACTGGGGAAGCTGCATTATAGATGAGCCACTTGACTCTGCAGTTGTCAAACTAAGATAAAGCCAGCTGCTGTGTTGCCTCTATATTCTCTTTGACACCTGCCCACTCAGGTACAAAGGTGTTTTTTTTTTCATTGCTGCCAGTAATGTGGTCATGAGAATGGTTTTTTTAGTCCAAACCATAATGTTTATAAAAACTTAAATACACACAAAGATGCTCAATAGGTCTAAACCACTTATTTACACAGCAGCTTTTTTCTATGTGCTACGGTTGATTCCCTGTTCAGATAAAAACGTGTTTCTCTGCCATCAGAATCCCTGTGATTTGATCCACTCTGAATGCGGCACTGGGTGTGGTCCTTTAAGTCTAAGTAAAGGGCGCACCAGTCACAGCGTTCTCCTCTGGTTATAACGGCTGACCTACCCAGCTCTTGCTAAATGTTTACTCAGTGTAAATACAACCAGGAGTCATTTTTCTCCTCCTCGTTGTACTTTGACTCTTGCTGATCTGTTGAGACACGGCCCTTTTGACATGCCCTCTTTCTGTCTCTCTCCTCTTTGTCTTTTTTTTTTTTATACCTTGCCTTCATAAGTGGCTAAAAGCCAAGGTAAGTGTGGTTTTCCCATGACCCATTGTACTGTAATGCATTATTGATAGATCTGTCCAACTCCCTTTCACCAGCAGACCCCCTTACATGTGGTGATCTTTGTCATTCCCATGTTATCCCCATTAACCACCTTGTACTGTAGTCCTCTTAGCCCAGATCATACAAGCTCTGTAACCCCCCCCCACCCCCCCACCCTGTCCCTTACCCCTCTTTGTTAATTTACTATCTCCTTCTTTTATGTTACATGTCTTTAGTTGTCTAGAAATGTTCAGTAGTTAATTTCAACCCCCTATAGGCTTCCCAGACAAAGTATCATCGAATGATTTTACAGAATTTATAAGACTACATTGCAGTAGGGTTGTCACAATACCAGAGTTTTAAACTTTTGATACGCTCCTAAGCTGATATGCTTCAGTAGTTTTTTAAACCTACAATCATAAAATGAACTGAGATTGTACAAGTCATCAGCCTGGTTGAATCAACCCAAAGGTTTCTAACCTGCAAACACGCCGAGCGCCTGAGTTCAAAACAAGCTGGATTGACATTCAATACTCAACCAAAACATAGATCTTGTTTTCATCTGGGCAGCCTATAACTATTAAATTTTTCGTCACCCACTTTGTAATCATCCACAATTTGTCTGTTAAATGAGCACCTTTCTTCTAACCACAGCAACATGGAAACAATCAGGCAATCAGAGGAGGAACACTATCGAGGACCAACCCGCCGACGCAGAAACCACCGAGCCCTCCCATGTCAGGGCGCGGCACGCTCGGGTAAGATTTCCATTTCGATCAGCACCAAGGACAGACTAATCCTCTAATTACCAAACACGGAATGGAAAAAACACAGGGAAGAACTGGGGGCAATTCAAGTACATGCAGTCCAAGTAGATATCTAATTATTCATTTATTTTTTTGGCATGCGTGTTTTTGTGATAATTACCTGTGATTTGAGTGGTAACAGCTCAGTGCGTGGTGTTGGTTCACACTCTGTTATTTGCTAAAAAGATGCTCCAGGACGTAACAGTTCAACTCAAGTGTGGTTTTGGCTCGCTTACTTATTTTGGATGACAAAACTGATTTAAGTGAAGCCAGGGGAAAGGGATTTAGTAAAAAAAAAGTAAAGTGTGTGTGAACTTCTATCTGACAGGTCTCGCACCCCGATGAACCCAGCCGTCGTTTAACACACTGCAGCCGTTTGCATCACTTACCAGATAATAATTTCCGAGGGTAAACTGCAGTGAACTCTCATCCAGCCGGGGGAGACGATTTAGACTTTAAAATGCTTCACTGAGCACCGCCACATAGTTTGGAGAGTAGGATTTACATTTCCCTTTTGTTTCCCGATTCATGTTACCGCTGCAGGCGCAACGCGTCCTACAAGACTCTGGAGCCGGTGAAGCCGCCCACGGTGCCCAACGACTACATGACCAGCCCCGCCCGGCTGGGCAGCCAGCACGGCCAGCAGCACAGCCCGGGCCGTACGGCGTCGGTCAACCAGAGGCAACGCACGCACAGGTACTGTGGACACGATCTGTCTGTCACACACAAACCAGAGTAGATCCAGAGCTTCTCTTTTCTAATGCTGAGAGTTGATTTATCTCTATCTATCCCACCTCAATGCAAAATGTTTTCACTGGCTATATCATGTTAAATATAAGGATTAACTGCCTTTTTGTGTTTCATATCATCATTAAACTGTCTCTGTTTTTTAGATCATTAATGAGACAGTAATAACAGCTAGAGAAATAGTTAAAACGTCTCCAGTAAACTTACATCAACAGATGTTAAGTCGATAAAAGGGTCAGTAGCTCAGTCTGTAGGGACTCGGGTTGGGAACCAGAGAGATGCCGGTTCAAGTCTGGTAGCAATAGATTGGTTGCCAAGTCACTTCCCGAGTAGTGCCGAGGTGCTTTTGAGCAAGGCACAGAACTCCCAACTGCTCTGGCACGCTCCCTGTGTATCAGTGTGTAGCAGTCCCACTCTGACAGCTCTCCATTAATGCATGTCTACAGGTCCTGTTTGTGTGTGTGTGAGCAGTATGTCCCTCATTAACACAGAGTAAACGCTAAATGCTAAACAAAAAAACAAAAAAATAGCAGGTTAAACACCGCTGGCTTCTGCTGATATCGTCTGAGATCAATCCAGGAATGGGAAAAAAGTTGTAACTGATGTGTTCTTCAGCTTTGCACAGCTCTCAGTGCAGAGTGAGACGGGTGATAGGAAAGAGTGGAAGAAGTCCAGCTGCTGCACCTCTGAACTGAACACTAAATTGTGCACTCAGTGTTTTTAGTAATGTGGGAAAGCATCTCTCCAAAAAACAGCGGCCTCCTCCATGTCAGGTAGTTTTAATCCCGTCATTCAGTTCAGCAGATAAACACTCTTTCACACTCCTCCTCCTCCTCCTCCTCCTCCTCCTCCTCTCTGCGGCACTAAATCCAGCGTTTGTCTGACAAGGCTTTGAGGGTTCCTTACTGCGACTAGAATTCCTCTGATATTAATATCTGTAAAAGCCTTTAATATAAAGTGCTGCTTAAATTAAGAAGAAGAAAAAAAAAAAGTCACCCCTTCAACGTAGCTCTTAAGGTTTGTTACCCAGAAAAGTGAAGGCGGAGAAAGTGGGCGACGCTTTCATCAAATTTGAGTTACGAGTGCGTGGAGCCGCCTCATTAGCTAAAAAGCCTGTTATGCTGACTGCGATGCTCATAAATATAACATCATTTCATTCTCCCCCAACCCGGCCAACTCCTCATGTTTGCTTACACAGAAGTTCCCCAGCGCTCCGTCTACTTTATCATTAAAAAACCAAACTCCAGGTCGTCCAGCAATTAGCATAAAAACCTTCAGAGCGACTACAAACAAATGTTCCTGATCTGTGGTTTAAAGTCGCCCTGATGCCCCTTCAACAGACTGCTGCTGTCCTCCCAGTCGAGCTGTACCCTCCCTGCTTCATCTAATAATGCTGTGGCATCACTCTCTGAATTACACAGGCCTTAAGCCGAAGTGCTTACTCAGCTCGTGTGTCTCTGCCAACCTCAACAGAAGTCTAAATTCAATATCAGCACCTGCTGTTTGGTCCCCTTTTATTTTCTAACATCTTTCTGTCGGACAGATAACGACGCATGCCGGTGTTGCTTTAAGAAAAGTCAGTTATTTGAATCCTGATAACATTTCCTTTCTTGGATTCCAACCTTAGCTAATCGAACTAAACAGGAGACATTCAAACTAGTGAATGTGAGCGACTGGTTTAGCTCAGTTGTTAAGAGTCAACGTCCTCGATGGAGCTCCTGCAGGTTCTTCAGGCCCTTGGTCCAAGTCAACCAAACCGTCTCGTCTCCACACTTCCCGTCTTAATTTAGCTGAAGTAATGTTTTATAGATAGAAATAAAGAAGTGAATGACCTTCGGGATAAACCATGCATCACAATCTAATCTATTATTTAAAAGATAAGTAGTAAACTGTGTGTAGATTCACCTCCTGTCATGTCAGCGTCTACAACCTGCTTTTCACCTCGTTTACAATTCTTCAACAGCCACCAACAGTCACAAGCTGAAGCTACCAACTCCTCTTTGACTCATCCATTCTTTGTTTATGAACTACAAACTCCTCCCCCCCGCTTGCTTCATGTCCCTCTTTTGTTCGACTTTTTGCTGCACGTCGCTCCCAATTGATCTCCCAGATTTCCTGACATTGTTGTTATTGGTAACAAGCTCAATAATAGAGCGCTGAACCACTTCCCTCACAGAGAAGGAACAAATCAGCAATGAAGGTCAAGTGGGTTTACAGCACCAGATGATTAAACATGATAAAGAAATATATATATATATTGGAAAATTAACCCTTTTTGTAAATAGTATCCAGATCAGAAGTGAGAGCATAGTTTGAGCACAGCTGCATCTGTTCAGCTGTTCCCATTAGATTTTTTAGTCATGTAGGGACTATTTATATTTCAGCAATATCACACGAGAGGGAGTGACGTTGTTCTGAATATCAGCACTGCTGTGATTCGGTCAAAAGCACGACCTCTCGACCTCAAGTGTGATAAAACTTTTATACAACAGTTACTCAAGCAGAAAGTAGTGGTAAAAAATGTAAATCAACAACAGATTATTTTTAAACTCGACTAGTTCCGCAATTTAACTGAAACTAGACTGTTGCCAAGCAACCCAAACATTCTCTGGCTGTTGGTGTCCATGGTTACCACAGAGCAACTACTTCGTAGAACTATGAATCTTTACTTGTATGTTTTAAGAAATTAGTTTTATCATGAAAGCAGTGAAATCAGAATCTGCTGTGGGATGAGATTGAACTAAAATGAACAGCTGACCGTGTTTTTCTTCATTAATCAAAATATTCAGGCTGAGGCAGAGTGATACATACTCATGGAATGCTTCTAGTCCAATCAGATTGCTTGTTTTGAACTGTATTATAATTTACTTGTTCTTTTCTTTTTGGATTGGATGCAAGGCGGGTTTTTAAAAAAAAAAAAAAGTGGAAACTTAAACAAGACTTTCCAAATATGCAGCAGAGAAGCAGAAGTGAAGAGGTTAGAAATATGCTGCACAAACACTAAACATATTTGGATTTATATTTATATAATATAAGCTTTCTGGCACCGTCAGCACACAGTATTTACATGTTAGTCACATCTTCTGCACAGATCATCTTTGGTTGTTTCGACATTTTAAAAAACATGGCATTCATACTTTTTAATATTCTGGACTCTCATTATCATTCACTTTTTTAAAAATTGAGGTAAGATGAGTGAGTCCCCCTGGGTTAATCTTACATTATTTTTGCAATCAAATCTTCGTTTGGCACACTTGATCTTTTACATACCAACAGTTTAAACGGAGCCCTGAGCTGGAATCATGCTGTATTAGATTATTATTCTAGATTACAGCAGCCCCTTTCATTCATCTCCTGCTGCTTCTGCGCTGCAGGTTATTTATGCACATCTAAAACCTCAATAACAATATCCAGTCTTTGTAAGCAAGGAGCGCGATCATTTTTCATCTTAGATTTGGCTTCGGGCTGCTTTGTAAGTCTATTTTTCTTGCAAATCAAGTCACAGCGTCTGAGCAAATACCTTTTACATATTGTTTTCACTTCATGCTCCTTTCACTGAGAACACTGTCTTCTAACTGGCTCAGGGGATTTCTGTCAGCTGTGAGCGAGTTATGTTGAACTTTTTTTTTTGAAAGCGTTACAGACGGTTGATTTCAAAACAAGCAGCTGTGTCGTGTAGAGGCTGAAGGAGAGAAGAAGGTGGAATGATTGAGCTATTATTTTCACAGTGAGAATTTAAATAAAGAGGAAGGAAGAGAGAAAGGGGGGTTAGCAAAGGGACGCGTAACATTCAGAGGGATCAGGATGGATCAGTCCAGAAGATGCAGATGTGGGGGGTGAAGAACGTCGTCACATCAAAAGAGAGAGAGAAGACACGATGAGATTGTTTAGCCTTTATCCTCACAAACACTCGGGTCACACCGCCACCAACACCCTCAGAGGGGTAACCCCTGCTGGATGCCCCAGGGCACGACTGACACAGATCAGAGAAGAGAAGGGGGGGATGATGGGAAAAAAAGGGGCTAAAGAGATGTGGGGGAGGTGGGAGTGAGCGAGCGAGCGAGCAGGGGTTCAGAGAGATGGAAGGAACGAGGGAAGACTGAGGGGTGGAGGGGAGTCGAATCACTTTCCGGGAGATAAGGGGATGAGAGGGAGAGGTCGATGGATGGAGAGGGGTGAGAGGTGGGGAGAGAGGGATCAGTTGGATGAAAGAAGGAGAAAGAGGAGAGGTGGGGCGAGGGGGCTGCAGCTGAAGCGAGGGATGAGAGAGAGAGAGAGAGTGACAGTGAAAAGGAGGAGGGGGATTTAGTCGGTCAGGGCATTGATCTACAAGCCCCCGGGGTCGAACGCAGGGCGAATCAGCGCTTATACAGGCCACTGCATCGCTGACACATACAGAGGCTTCTGCTGGGTCAGTGGACTTTTTCTTTCAAATCAATACAGATAGAAACTGTGTGCCATTTGATTTAGACTCGTATCATATCTAAGCTGATACATGACAACCCTACAAATAGTTACTAGACATTTAAACGTGACCGCATTAAACGTAAACCTCTCATCATGATGCAGATATTTATCAGGACTCCCGTCAGTGCTTCATCTGTTAGTTAGAATTAAGTAATTACTAAATATGACAATAACTGTGATGGATTCAAACAAGATCAATTAGGTAAGCCATTGCTGAGCGGGTTTAACACGCTATCAAATAAAAACAAAAAAGGCAGCCGCGGATCCAAAGTCAACTTATAAGCCACATTTATGAATAGAAAACTTTTCAGCAAAAACTAAACTTTAAAAAATAAAATAAACAAATCAGATCGCTATATCATGTATGTCCATAAGCGGCCCTTTGCAGTCAAAAAACTGTTCCGCTTCCCAACTCTCAGTCTCACCCCAGGTGTCTTTAATCAGCTTAAATTACACTGCGGATACGCCGCAGCCCGCCCCCAAAGAGGGAGAAATTAGACACAAATACCCCCAAATCAATTAACAAAAGCTAAACCCAAAATAAGCCAGAATAAACCGCATGTCAGTCCCTACTCTCTCTCCCTGATTTCCAGCTCTATCCACTGTCCTATCTCTCAATTAAAGGCAGAAAAAGAAGTTATTTGATTGACCTGAGTATGGTTACCTCTTGTCGCCTACATAACGTTACAGTACAACACATGCATGACTTCACTGGATCATGAAGCATGCTTAGTTTGCAAGACAAGCAAACTAACAAATGAATAAGTAAAACAAAAGGGATGCACAGTTAAATCCGCATCGGCAGATCAGTAAACAACACACAGAACATGACAGCAACTTTACTGACTTTGTGGCTTTATTTTGAGACATTTGAATCAGACACAGCCAGAACACTCGGGGGATTTCTCCATAAAGGAGGTCGGGATAGATTGTCCTTCATCGCCGATCGTCCGCGTTGTGTACCCGTGCTTGTGCTCGTGCATTAGCAACTGTAGTATGCCGAAGCACTCCTCTTCCAACCGTGCCCGGGGCGAGGAAGCACACAGAACAGAGCACTAACTCTAGTGAAATGAACTCTGACTCTGAGGGTGAAACGTGCTTTGGTACGGTACGGATTGCCTTGTGTGAGTGCACCTTAATAGACTTTAAAAAAACAAAAAGGAGCATATCATCACTTTAAAGTCATGTTTTGGGTTCTTTTTAAGCAGCATTTAAAAGCACAACTATCTATTATAACCGTTAACTATACCATACAATAGCATTTGAGTGTGTTCCTCCGGCAGAGTGAGTCATGTCTTGCTCACCTGGGTGTGTCACTCTGCAGTCCCTACAACACAATGCAGAGTTCTCCTTCAGACGTAATGTGAAGTTTGGAGTCTTTAAATCCTAAATAGGACATGAGCAGCAGCCTTCACATATCTGCAGTATTACCTGCTGTGCCCTGTGAGCGTGTTGCCCTGAATAAAACGGTGTCCTCTTTCTCTCTCTCTCTCTCTCCTCCTTCAGTGGGAGCAGCGGGGGGAGCAGCAGCAGGGAGAACAGCGGCAGCAGCGGTATTGGCATTCCCATCGCCGTGCCTACACCCTCCATCCCGAACTCTGGACCAGGTGAGCTTTGTTAGCTATAGCTGCACACCATGCAGCGACAGTTGCACCAGGCCTGTTTTCTTCTTTCTCATATAAAGAAAGGAAAAGGGATCGGACTCAAGTAGCTGCAGGCGTTTTTGTGAAGCTTTAAATGAAAAACCTGCCTCAAAGTGCTGCTGACCTACCTAAGAACATCATTAGGGAGGCCTTCAGAGAGTTTTCTCTTCCTTTTTTACGTGCTCAAAACACTGGATTGGATAGAAGAAGCATATAAATCTACCTTTCATGCTACAACAAACGTTATTGACACTCAAAAATCAGGTCTGTTTGGCCTTCGTGTAATCAGATCTGCCTCTTCAAACATTGACAGGCTGTGTTAAAAACCTCAGCCTGAGTTTACATTTGAACATATATCAAATAGTAGCAGAAGGCAGTGCTAAATAACACCACTGTACGCACTATGACCAAGTGTTAAATACCTTACATAACTGTGTCTGCTTGTATAAAATAACCACTGTTCAGTTTTAATTATTTACTTGAAATGGTACAAATTAGAGATTCACACACATAAACAAGTTATTTTTTCTATTATATTACACATGTGTAAACCAGTCGAGGTATTACTTGACAAGGTGTAAATGTAACATGCTATTTGCACATAGTGAGACTAGGCTATGCAAAGCCTATGTTTACCAGACAGGGATTATGGCGGCCCATTGTGTTCTAAGCACAGCTGATTCTCTATCCAACTGTGTAAATAGGCCAAGCTGCGCAAAGACCTGCTGCATTAAAGTGGCACTAAGGCCCACATAACACCATACACATGCTACACATAACACTGCATCACACCCTACGTAAGCCTTACATGCTAATGTTTGACTTCTGCAAATAATTCAAAGCTTGAAAGAGAAATAGTTCAGGTTTATGTAGCAGCTTTTGTACCTCAGCGCAGGGATCAAGCCAGCAGCACAGAACTAACCACAGCTCTCCCTGCAAGCCGGTCGCCATGGAAACACTCGATTCATAGCACAAAGAAGTGTGTCCAAGTGTGTGCGTGAGTGGAGCGGCGTCTTGACAAAGTCGAAGCGCTCCTCCGGGCCTTAGAGGGGTTCTTGAGTGAAGTGATGTGATGTTATGTAACAGAGCAGCGGTGCAGCAGGCGGATTATTCTGCAATAAACGCTCACTAATGTCAATACACCTTTCAGTCCCGCCCATGTTTGCTCCTCCTGGAGCCCCTCCACCTCCTCCCCCCCCTCCTCCTCCTCCTCCACCTCCTCCTTCCATGGCTGGGTTCGGGTCCCCAGCGCCCCCGCCTCCACCTCCACCTCCGCCACTGCCGTCAACTTTAGGTGAGACACCTCAACTCCCGATGGCTGCACGTGTCAGCCTCTGCTGCCGGGACCGCCGATTATACGGATAATCAGCTGGGATCTTGCTCTTGAGGGAGATGCACGAAATGAGGGTGTGGTTGGGCGCTTGTTTGTACACACTGTAAGCAAGAGGCTCTGATTCATTCCGTGCAATCATGTCTCAATGTAGATTTTTTTGTCCAAGACAATCAGGCTGCATAATTAGTTTCATACTGAATTGCTTAAACAGAAGTGATGAAAACTGAAAGTACCCTCCTCAAAACTTCAGTAATGGATGCAGCTGTTCTCTCTATTTGAGATATTTATTTCTGTAGGCTCATTAAATTAAATGGAATAAGGACAGAGTGAGGATCTGATGTGACTGCTGCACGTCTACCCGTGCGTTCACCGCTCAGCACTCGAGAAAAGGACTGTTTTTCTCATCTTGCTTGCAGTGTGGACAGACTGAATATGTGATTCTGTTTGGAGACATAACAGGTGAAAATCAGAGTGATTCAATAACATGTTTCTAAATCGTCAGTGGTGGTGGTGATGCCTCTTTATTTTCCACTGATCTGCTATAATTGGTTATAAAAGAAGTCTCACTCAGATCTCCTCTTGCTTGGATGAAGTTAATTACCGCCCGCAGAATCTTCAAAATGACTTATTTAATATTCCCCTCCAGTGGCTGCATAACCAGATAAATATACAAAACCTGTAACTACAATTTAGAAGTCTGAATCTCTCCAGAGTGTGGACAGAATCTTTCATGAACAAATATTTATGCATACAAACTTTGAGACTTCTTTTGCACAGGTAAGTTTCAATCGAGTTCCTTTACTTTCATCAGGAAAGTAAAGGAACTCATCTTCTGATCTGTATTAACCTGGCTGTAGCAATTTTCTTTGTGGGAATGGAAACACAACGACTTCACATGATATTAAAAAAAATATATTTTCACCCCAGAAATGTTTTAAAGAAAGAATACAAGTTGACAAGTTAACTAAAAGCCCGAATAACCTTTAGCATGTTTGTGTATTTCACCCTCGTTATGAATTTATAGACATGGTGGTACTTTGAAAGAAACCAGATTTTGCTTTTAGGTTTGAATGTAAAAGTCGTGACTAGTTTCACAAAGTATTGTCACATATAGTAAGTTGAATTTACCATTATTAATCATATTACAAAAAAATACACGTCATACTCTGAATATTATTAGTTCAATTACCAACTAGCCATTAGCATCTCCAGGTTTTTTCACCCTCTTTGTAAAGTCACATGTCTTCCTCTGCTTTTGAAACAAACCTTTTTTTTACTTGTTTGCATATAAATATGAGCAAATTATTGTTGGCTAGTTGAATATATTATTATGCAAAAGTGAAGCTAAGTAAAAGCTCCTGCTGCTGTTTTGACTTCCTGTGTCGTAGTTTATTTCTACTGATTGGAGCTTTGTACGTTTCCTAGCAGCAAGCTAATTTTTTATTAAATGGTGCAACCTGACTTAACAAATATACCAATGCAGTAGTTATTTAGAACTGAAGGATTTACAAAGCAGCCCAACCAGCTGTGGTTGCCAATTCAAGAAAAAAAAAAGGAAAAGCTCCTGCAAGCACATTTATTTATCATTTAATACCATCATTGTAAAACACTGAGCCATCATTTAATCCTCACACATGTAGACTCACAGCTCACATCAGTTACTGTAATATGATCCCCCGGTAATGAAGCAACACGTTCAATTTTGCCTGATGAAACTTTAATGAGCAGGGTGTATTGACTCTGAGCCGCTGATTGATACTGACTTTGATTCAGGCTGAAAAGCTTCCAGATGCTTCTGGTGTGAGTGTGTGAATGTGTGTGTGTGTGTGTGTGTATACACAGTAGCTGCTACTATCTGATCGACTTGAACGCGATGATCACTTGAAACGTGAACATCTCATCGTCCAAACATCACGCACACACACACACTCTGAGCTATAATTACTTCTGCCCGTGAAAATACAGTTTCAGTTTGTGTTCCTCTGAAGCCGCACTTCCTCTGGTTCCACCCATTCCTATCTGAGAGCACGGCCTCTCCTCAGAGACGGTGCGTTATCTGCAAATGGGAACAGGAAATTCTCTCCTTAACCCCTCTCTCCCTGTCTGTTTTTTTGTCGTTCCGTACCCACGTCTACACTTAGCGCTTTTACAACCTTGAAAATCGAGCCGTTTGATGTTGTTGTTTTGATGCTGTCGTCCCGAGATATCTCCGTGAGATTGCCTCGAAAAAAGACATTTTCTAATCCAATTTTTGAGAGATGTGTGAAGAAGAAGAAGAAGAAGGTCTCACTGCCAGTTCTGTTGAAGGATCAGTCTGTTCTGTTGCTGCTGTCCTCTTTTTGCCCACTTAATCCCTTTTCTTTAGTTTGCCTCCGCTGCATTTCCAAAGAGCCCTTCGGGGGCGGGATTTATTCAGATGACCTCTTTGGACTTTTTGTGTGTTTCATTTTCCTCTCATGAAATTATCAATTAACAATCTGCATTGCTTCCCTAGCTCACCTACTTCCTCTGATTGGTTATTGATTGTCTGTTTCATACGGTGTGGTCCTTTTAATCCTAATTTAAAAGCTCTCATTATCCTGATGATTCATGTTTTGGGTGCTCCCCCCCCCCCTCTTTCCCTTTCTATCTCCTTTGTCGAATCTCCCTTTCCCTCTTTGCTTCTCGCTCTCTTTCCTCCCTTCCTTCCCTTTCTTTTGGGTGCTTCTAGTGGTGGCCCCGGGGCCTGGTCTGGGCCCTATTCCAATGTCCCAGTTTGGAACCATCTCGCGGCAGATTTCACGGCACAACCCCTCCAACTCCTCTGTCTCTATGGTTTCGGCCACGGGCACCTACCGCCGGGCGCCGTCGGTCACTTCCCAGTTCTCCTTGCAGCAGCAGCAACAACTTCAGCAGCAACAGCTACAGCAGCAGCAGCAGCAGCAGCAGCAACAACAACAACAACAACAACAACAACAACAGCAGCCTCATATTAACGGAGGCACTCCAGGCTATGGTCAGAATTCAAGTAAGGCCTTTCTGTCTCCATTCAAAACCTCTTTTTAAGATCCTGAACACTTCACATTTTTCCAAAATGATGCACAGTCACAAACTAAAGCCAGCTAACCTTTTGCAGCCAAAAAGTGAGTCACTGCTTTCTGAAGGTCAGACTTGCACTCCGGTCAGATGTATTGACTTACCCTTATGTCTGAATGTGCAGGTCAAGGCCTTTTTATCGACCCACGGGACGTCTTTAGTATTGATGCAGAATGTCTCATTCTTGTGTTGTACAGCAGCAACAATCGATGACCGCTGGCGGTTGTTAGTATCAGATTTTAGACTCATGTAAAAGAGCGGTCAGACGTTAACCCCTAGTTTTGATTACTAAACAACTTAACTCGCTGAAGTAGGTTTAAAATGTGGTTCATATTTCCCCCTTTAAAAAAAAAACAACAACAGACCATGATTGGTATCTGAATAGATTCTTTGGAAGATGATATCTGATTTAATGTTCATGAATGAAAAGTATTTCTATGCTGCCCGAATTTGTCTTCTTTAAACCATGTCTCGCTTTTTTTAAGTTATTAATCGCCAACTTGTAGCTTTAGATAGCAGGAGAAAGAAAACCTCAGTGGTCTTTAAACTCTTGTGTGAGGATCCCCCCCCCCCCCCCCCTCAGGATGCAGTCACACTGTGTTGATTTAATTTACACCTGGCTCAGATCAGATCACTATGTGAGGCAGATCTCCTCCAGATGTGGATGATCACATTCCAATCACAATGTGTTTGTCATTATTTGACATTATCAGCAGACAGATGCATATTGTTAATGCATTAACCTTAATCATCATGGACTCAGGAAACCTGCACCTTTTTTTTAAATGTAAAGGACTACATGACAGCAGATCTGCAGGGAGTTCTTAAGGCTTGCAAAGGTTTTGGAATTAAGTTCTGTAGACATGTAAGTCAAACAGCGCCCCCTCATGGCCACCAGCAGTCCTCACTTCTCTCAGAGCCCTGAGTGGGAACCGTCCGATCGTCACATATCAGACATAATCCGCCCGTTTATCCTCCCTTGATAGCTTGTGAAATCTCATCACACTCACAGACGTCACTCAACTTTTTCAGCCTCACAACATTTGTGTGTGATCTGCAGCTGCGCACAGCTCGGTGAATTCATCTGGTGGTTGTCATTTTTTATTTATTTATTTTTTTCAATTTTGATCATTTTGCTTAAAAAAAAAACGAGTTGTACGTTTCTGATAGCCGACAGATGAATTGACTTGACTCAGCATCTCAGCTCTCAATCTGCCACTCTCTCCTGTTCTCTTAGATTTTCTCCTCTTGCAGTTTGTGTTCTGTGTCACTGTGGGTGTTATCGTTGGATTTGAACGCACTCATAACTGTTTTCCCGTTCTCTCTCTCGGTGACTGATGGGCTTTGTTTTGTTTTTTTCTTCTTCCTTTTGTGTTTCTCTTCCTCCTCTCTTTCCTTCCTTGTCTTTTCCTTTTTTCCGGGCTTTCAGTGTCTATCGCTCCTCCTCCTCCCCCCATGCCCCAGCTGACTCCACAGATACCTCTGACTGGCTTTGTGGCCAGGATGCAGGAGAGCAGTAAGTGAAGAGGCTAAGACGTACTCTCCCCCTTCTGTGTGTGCCAACCACTCCACCATTTCAACAACACCCAGCATCCTCCTCTCCTTCCTGTCTGTTGAACACAAATAACATTAACCTCTTGTAGCACTAAACCATCCAACTGTGTATCTGAGTCGTCCTGGTTTATGTAACTTACATGCACCTTCACTTAGAGACAGTTCATATTAGACATCGGGGTATAGACAGAGTGGAGTTACTCACCACCTTTCAAAGTTAATTCTACTTTTAGAAAAACTCATTGATCCATCTTAAACGTAAATATTTTGTGGTTTCTAAACTATTTGTTAAATGTGACAAATTGTGCAAATCACTTCAAAAACATGCGCCCATATTGATGCATGATAAAAGTTTTATTATTTTCTTGCAAAAGGAAAAAAACATCTTGAATGAGAATGATTTTAGGCTGCTTCTTTTTTTAGATTTATATTTGAGATTTTTGCCTTTTATTGGAAGGACAGTGGATAGAGTCAGAAACTTGAGATGGGGGGAGGGGGGGGTAGTTGATGAAACAAATTGTCTCAGAACGTCCTCCTCGGCTTCAGGACTCACTGAGTCACATTTTGCAACGTTTTCTGACATTTTTAGAAACAAACGACTCCTTAATATTGAGAATTAAACAATCGGACCAAAAGTTACCTTTGGTCACAGGGCGTTTGCAGAGCTGCTGTAATAACCAATTTATCCTAAAATAGGAGTTATGAGGGGAAAAACAACTTTGACTGAACGTGTTACGGCCACCATCAACACACGCAGGAATAAACGTCTGAACCCCTGTGCTCTTAAACTGAAGCTGTTGCTGCAGGTGAAAGTTGTTATCTGCAGACTTGAGCTGGTTTATTACATGTACAAGTTCACTGCATAGAGCTGAAGAAGGTGGGACTCTTTGCTGCCCCCTGTTGTTCTAAATCCTGCAGGTCAGTCAAATACCACTTAAAAAAAAGGTTTAGGTACAGAATTGACTTTTATTTCTTGACTGAAAGCAACACTAGATGTATGAACTAATAGACTTCAAGGCAATTATACAGTTTAAGATGTTTCAAATAAAACATGCAATCTACGTTCTTTTTTATAGATGTTTCTCCACGTTGATGCTGTTGTGCAGACCTACTTAAACGGCATGACTGAGCATGCAAAGAGATCACTTTAATGTTAATAAATCCCTTTTTTCTGTCTGTGCATGTCTGAGCAGTTTCAGAGCCACAACGAGGAGCACAAACTCTTAAAGCTTAAACCTGAAGAATATCATCCTGTTAAGAGATGCATGAGCTCTAACAGTGGTGCATCCTGATCTATGACTTCAACGTTAACATACAGCATGTTACACACACACACACACACACACACACACACACACACCCCTCTGCATGATCTGTCGTAACTCTGCATGCTTGAGCCGCCGTCCTCTCCAGCACCGGGCTCATGTCGATCTTTTTGAACTCCAACACAGAGAGAAATGTTTTCTTTGGTAATTTGACTTCCTCTTTCTCTTAACAGTTGCAGATACTCCTACTCCTCCTCCCCCTCCTCCTCCAGACGACCTGCCGATGTTCGACGACTCTCCTCCCCCTCCGCCGCCTCCTCCGGTTGATTACGAGGAGGAGGACGCCGCCGTGGTGCAGTACAATGACCCCTACGCTGACGGAGACCCACAGTGGGCGCCCAAGAACTATGTGGAGAAAGGTGTGATATGTGGTTTTGTCACAAAGGATCGTTGGGTTTCTTGTAGAGATCAGTCTCAGGACGACATGTTGGACGACTGGCTCTCCTCTCTGAATCTACAGCTTTTCATCATTATTTTCTTTTTATATAATGACTCATCAGGCAGGGCACATTTATCAAGATCACTGTTAATACTAGGAACTAGCTGAACAGCTAAATCTCATCTGTAGTCCTGAGGCAGGTCTTATATAAACTCCTTCCTCCTTACAGGAAGGTCTGATTTCAGTTGCTCTTGTCGTTGTATCAGACAAACACAGAGTTATATTTATTTCAATTTCATTTCTGTTGTTTGAAAAGAAGAATCTTCCTGCTGTTTTTTTATTGATCGACATTTAATGCGAACACACTCGTATCAAGAAAGAGATTTCCTTAGTCGTATTTTTCCTAATCAAAACAGTTTTCTCACTTTTATTGTTCCCCCAGAGGGAATTCAGTTCAATTTAGTCAGTGAAGATATCCACAGTGACTCTGTTAAACCATTAAAAGGTTCAACTGGCTGCTTTGAACATTTCATTACCAGACTTGATATTTGAATTAATATATAACTTTTCTTCAAGCATTAAAACATGTAGTGGCAATTTCTTCTTGTGTGTCATATGAAAATTGTCACTTGTGTCTTGGAGCCAACCTGTTCGTTCCTGATGCGTGTCCACTTAAATATACTCACAGATCCGTTGTTTCACTTGATTTCTTATTTTATTCGTAATTCCCCTTGTTTCCAGAACAGATCCAAAATGAATAAATCAAAACTCATAACAAAAAGGTCACGATCAAAAAACATTTGCTGCGTGGCTCCTAAACCTCCACCACAGTCCACAAACAAAAACGATCGACTTTTTTCTCACCACCTGTGCACCCAAATTAATTAACACCCATAACACAAAACACCTGCCCAAATAAATCCATTCTTCACCATAAAGGTTTCCATGTCAAATCAAGTACTTCTCATAAATTAATACTTATTTCTAACAACACAAATACTTCTGAAACTAAAGTTTGGCCTCTACAAAACATTTCTGCCACACGTCTGTCATGTATCAGGTATTTTATTTTCCTGAACAAACCTCTCCCCTCATGTTGCAGTGGTGGCCATCTACGACTACTCCAAAGACAAGGACGACGAGTTGAGCTTCATGGAGGGGTCCATCATCTACGTCATCAAGAAGAACGACGACGGCTGGTATGAAGGCGTCAGCGGCGGCGTCACCGGCCTGTTCCCGGGCAACTACGTGGAGTCCATCATGCACTACGCCGACTGAAGAGACCCGACAGTAACAGTACGGTCTATTTATTCAGTCATATCATAAATCCAATGACGGACTGACCGCCGCCGCCGCCGCCGCCGCAGCAATCTCCACTCACCTGAGACGCATAGACATAACTGTATGACCCTACTTTTTGATATGACAGAATGTTCTTCCCCTTAACTGATTGCAAATAAAATGAAAAGTAATATCTATTTAGTTTATTTTGGTGTTATATGGGCGGGTGGGGGACATCTATGGAATATGTAAAAAAAAAAACAAGTTTCTAAGGATTCAGACTGCACGTGCTCACAACGGTTGAACTCAAAGACGCTGGTCGAACAGCTGAAGGACTCCATCTCTCCTGGACAAAGATATATGTGAACAAGAGTATAATGTCTGATGGAACAAAGAAGTGTTTGTACGGTCACTTGTAAATAACGTGAGCTGCAGAAACTCGGGTTTATGTAATGTGAAATTCAGTGAATGTTGATTATATGATAGTTTTTATTAGTGGTGCCCTCCTTTGACTCCATCGTGTGTGGAAGAGAAAACGCACATGGCCTGTCGATAATCTACTAAATTAAAAACCTGTATGATGTATTTCAGAGACGAACAAAATACTCCTGTTGATCCGTCGTTGGCGTCAAAGCATGCAAATTCTTTGAAGGATGAAAATGTAATCTTGAGTTTTATCGCCATTATGCTTCCATTTAGTTGTAAATGTGTCCACGTTTATTTTGTCACCTTTATTACGCTCTTTAAATCTCTGAACTTCCAGAGTGAATTTCAGGCTTCCCAACAATCTCAGCCTCCAGATTGCTTTTAATTAAACATCATGAAAATGAAACCGAGTTCACGTTTTCACACGTTGTGATCTGTTCGATGTGGAAGCTCTCAGCCGACATGCGTCCATATATTTTTATTTACTCTAATTTCCTGCGATAACGAGTTCATTCCAATTGTTTTCTCGAGATCTTGACTCGTTTTTTCTCGCGTTTTCGGGATATCAAACCAACAAACTGTTATGACAGATTAAATCTCCTGTGGGGAACTTTTGGTTTGCGTCCATTTTGGCGCCCCCCTGTGGACAAAGAGGTACATCTACTCTGCTGATCTTGTTCTTGCATTAAGTCTTGTCTTCTTAAGGAACATCCCATCCTGATTTCCTTTAACAGTCAAACTTATCACTGTTCATCTTTGCTGTGTAGAACATAAACAAAGACTTTTTCTATTTACCAACACCTACAAACATATTACAAAAAACTAATTTCAGTCTTTTTCAAAACCTTAATTTATCTCATTGTCTCATGACAACAGGAATATGTTTGGCAATCTAGAAAACCAGTCAGGGCGCTGTTGGCCTAGCAATTAGGTAGCGCCCCATGTACAGAGGCTGTGATCTGCTGGGGGGGGCGTGGACTGGTTTCAAGTCTGACCTGCACCTTCTTTCCTGAGTCATTCCCCACTCTCTTTCCAGAGTACCTGTTCTACATCCTGTCCTCTCTAAGTTAAGGCAAAACCCAAAAATAATTATTTAAAAAAACAACAGGCTGTTTATCTCAACATGCCGTGCTGCCATCGCCCACACTAAGAGGCACGTTTTTCTACGTTTGTTTTGTGCTTTTGGAACTCTGAGGATACAAGATATAAATAAGTCGAGATCCCAACAAACATGTTGAAATCACCAGTGATAAATGTGTGGCTGCATGTCCGCTTAAGGCTTCCATAGAGAGAACATGTTCCATGTGTAGCTTCTAATATCACATCACTGTTATTAGCTTTACTCTAATCCACTGAACACCTGTAGGATCTGCTGTTAAACATGAAGACAACGGGCTCTGACAGTGGTTCTAAATCAGACTGGAGTGGTCGTGCCTGACACTGCCATGACGTGAAACCTCAGATGTGATGTAGACCAAGAAACAACTCGAATACCTCCTCGGCCTTCAGTGAGCAACATCAACCTGCTCTGGAACATGAAATCCTCTGGGCTGCACAGGTGTACATATTTTATCGAGTAAAATCAGCCGGTCGATATATAAAGGTCTCACTCAGGTCTGGGAATCATCTTTAACATCCTATTATATATATTTTTTTTCAGTTGGCCCGACATCTAACATGACTGAATTTTTTTTTACTTCCTTTTCAGAATTCTGCAGCTAATGCCTTGATTATTTTCATTTCATTAAAAAAAAAAAAAAAAAAAGTGTTCCAGCTCTATTTCATGAGTAGAAATATTTGAATCAATCCCCGTCTGCCCTTCATTTGTACATATATGTTGAATGAAAGATTCATGTACAGTCTTTTTATAATAAACAATTCTATGTACAACGGACATGTGTGTGTGTGTGTGTGGTCACTCAGGAGGAATCAGGAAGGAGCACAGGCTTGGTTTAAAAAAAAACATAATAGTATATTTATTGATCACACAGTCGTTGCAGATGTTAAGGCCTCGTTGTTACAGGGCACTTTGCATTACTGAAGCAACCTCACAAGTCACACAGACACGCGTCTGTTTGGCCTCGGAGGTGTGGACGGATCTCAGAAGACAAAAAAAGAATCCATCCAAACAAACACACCGATGACATGATTTCACTTTCTGTGTGTCTGTTATCTGATTTTTTTTTTTTTGCAACGCCGCCACAGCTCAGCACCAACCTGTGACAAACTTTTCAGTCACATTTATACAAGTTGAGTCTTTGGAGGCGTTTTGCAGGTACAGTACTGTATGCAGTGATGATGAACGGTGCAGTTCTCTGCTTTAATTATAAGTTCAATATACTTTATATATTTCATTTTCCAAATGATTTTTGATGGCAGTCAGATATTCTAGTCTCTAGAATGGATTTGCATTGTAAATAAAAACAGTTTTTATAGATTTCATCATTGTTGAAACTGATGTTTTGGTGTGTTTAATCGATCAGATATCCACTCAGAGACCCCCCCCGCCTGCCGTTTCCATCCCTTGATAGTGATTGATCAGATTGCTTGGCACTAAAAAGCAGCCACAGAGATCCTTCCCAAACAAACAGTTTTTGTCCGACCCCCCCGGCCCGCGTTGACACAGAGGAGGAAGGGGGGTGCAGGGTGAGTTATTTTTGTCCCACAGGTAGGTAGGTGGGTAGCTGCCTGAAGTGGAGTTCAGTGGAGGTTCACTTGTCTCTGGTAAGAACCATCTCAGTGAGCCTGATGAGGGCGTCTCTCTCTGCAGACGGCCGCAGCATGCTGATCTGCCTGATGGCTTCCTGACAGTAACGCTGCGCCAGGAAGTTAGTCTGCTGCACACCGTCGCTCTACAACAGAACAAAAGGAACGTTAAGTTGTGCATACTGGTATAGCTCCACTTGTCTCTCATAAAAACATTTATTTTGTTGAATCTCATTTGCTTGTGTTACTCTTGGTCTTACCTGGAGGACGTACTGCCAGGCTCGATCCACATCTCCTTTAGAGCTGAAACGTCTCATGATCATCGCGTGAAGCTCAGGGAACTGAAAACGACAGAAACAAAACTGACCTAAAGAACGGCAGCATCAAGTTACACACAGTGTTTTACGTGTTCTCGTTTACATGAGCATCAGAAAAGCTTCTGCCAGCCTCACCTGTTGACAAGCGAACAGAACCGGCCCCGTGGCCAGGCCCAGTTTGAGATCTGCAGCCGAGGGTTTCCCCAGTTGACTGGCCCCAGATGTGAAGTCTAACACATCATCCACCAGCTGCAGGACAGAAACATTAACCCCATATTAACAGTTTTATTATCATCTTTTGAACACCTTTAAAAAAAAAAATCTGAGGACCATTTTTTTCCTTAAATATCCTCTCTTCTAAACGGATATCCTGATAAGTCTTTTTTATCATTTAAAGGAGCTTTTGCAAACGGTAAATGGACTTCAGCTTCTTACCTGAAATGCGATGCCGACGTTCTTGCCGTACTGGAAGGCTATTTCATGAACTTCGGGATCAGAATTTACTAGAATGCAAACCTTCAATGAAAGAGAGGGAAACAGTCAACAAAAAAAACAGTGGACGTCAAAGCCGAGGCTTTCCCTCCAACTCTGAGATATTAGTGTGGAGACAGAACGTACATACTGCTTTACAACTGTTGGCAATGAGGCTGGCCGTCTTCTTGAAGGTTTTCTCGAGGTAGTGTTTGAATCGCTCGTTCTCGTTCTCTTTGGAGCCCAGCTGCATGAACTCACCTGGAAGCACAAGCAAAAAAGATTTAAGATATGAAGACACCTGAAAACTGAAAGTTAAAGTTTTCTGACAAATACAGTGGAGTTAGTAAAAGGTGATTCTTAGCCTCTAAGATGAAGTGAGTAGAGCTGAATAATAAAGACAAATGACTCAATGAGTTACAATGTTTATAAAGTTTTTACTGCAGCTTCTGGTCTTTTACATCTTTAGGAACAACTTCAATAAAGATTTATCACTGAGGTGACAAACTGACATAAACAAAGACATTCCCGTACCTCGCACCAGGTCCTCGATCACCTGGGACAACACCTTTACCACCGTGATGTTACCGATACGAGCCAAGGCCATGGAGGCCGCCGAGAGGATGAAATCTCCAACTAAGATCGCCTGGAGGAGGAACAAAAAAAATAAATATTACCTTCCTTACTTAAAAGATGTATGTAGGAGAAAAGGACAACTCTGATTCCCCTCACCTTCCTTTCTCCCCACATCTCATTGATGGTTCTCTTCCCTCGCCGTTTGTCTGACCCGTCTATGACGTCGTCGTGCACCAGGCTGGCAGTGTGGATCATTTCTGAGATCATAGCTATGGCCCTCTGACCCGGGAGCAGGTCTCTGCAGGGGACAAAGACAATAAAAGATGAAATGAAACCCCGTGGATCATGCTTCATAAAATAATTTAAGAAGTTATCACAAGGTGTGTTAGTCTTACAACGGTATCAGAGGTCACCCGGTGCGAGCAGCAGCAAATACAAAGACAGATTTGTAACTTGACTCGGTCTTACCCGGCTCGGTTGCTGTGGATGTTGAGCGCCCGAGCCATCAGAACGACTATCATCGGTCGGATCGCTTTGCCTTTGCCATCGAAGTAGTAGTCACATAGATACTTCAGCTCGTCTTTGGAAACAAACAGCTCCTTCAAGGCAGAGGGATAAAATGTGCATCTTTGATTTCAGTCATAATCAGCGACTGTAGGAGATAAAGATCTGCTAAACATCACATGACAAGATGATGTCTCCTGTTCACTTCAACAGTACAGGACAATAAGATAGACTACATATATATCGTCTTTATTTTTAACTGAGAGGAACCATTATGTCACACTGAGTAAGTGTATTCTCTGTACCTTTCTGATGTCATCGTATAAACTTTTTAAGTCTTTCTGCGCTAGTGTGAACGGGTCTTTCAGCTTTGCATCGCTGTGTATTTTTCTGCAGCAGCAGGTCTGTAGTTTGGGATCCAGCAGCCGGGGCTTGTGTCTGTAGAGAACGGAAAAACCATAAAAGACAAAGAAAATTAAAGAATATTTACTGTTTAATTATAAAAGATGGTCAATTAGTTATTACCAGATCAAAATGTACTCTTTTAGGAGTTCATAGAAATAAACACACTACTCCATGTAATAATGAAAATCATGCATTTAAAGATATTTAATCAACATGTCTGTATCCAGAGCCTGCAACTAACTAACTGTTGGTTAAAAACAGCAATGACTATAACACAAAAACCTTCAGTAGAAAGTCTTACAACATCCAAAAAGGAACTGAAACAATTTGCCGAATCACTTCTACTCATCTGGGAAAAGTGAGTGCCAATTATTTTTATAAATTGTTATTTGTGTCAGGCATTTTTCAGGCTAAAACGTTAAAAAAACAAAAAAAACAATGATTCTTCCTTAAAAAAGAAATTTGTCTTCTGCTGTAGCTAATTATGAGTTTTTATGTATTCTTGATTGGATAAATATATTTTCAAAAATTTGGGATACTTCAAATTTGAAGCAATTCATTTCAAAAATAATTGTAAGATCGTATTCAACAATCTTTTTTTTTTGCAGCTCTTACGAGAAGAAGCCTCAGGTTCAGACAACTCACCTGGTGACAGACGAGGTGTAGTTGAATGTTTTCTGGTTTGTTTCTGTCGGGAGAGCTGATGCCTGCCCCTCAAGAATAAACAGACATGATACAAACATTACTTTAGAATCTCAAAACACCTGAAGAAAAATGACCAATGGAAGCCAAGATCAAAACACCAAAAACACAAGTTGGCTACAGCTGTTTACAGAAAAAACAATTCAGCAAATACCTGCAAAAATACAAAAACAGAAAACTAATAATACAAATATATATATTTATAAATTAAATTATTTAAAGGGTAGCTACAGTTTTATGCTAGTATGACATTTGCAGTTTTTTACTCGTTTTTTTGCACTTGCGGAAGTAATTAACATGTGTGTGATGAATGAATGGATGTGGTATCTGTACATTAATCTAAATGAAGGGGGGGGGGGGGGGTGACATTGGTTAGACTGAAGTGGACAGCTGACTGAGTAAAGGACAGAGCTTAGTGTAAATGTCCTGTCCTGTCAGGAGGAACAGGTCTTGACCTTTCTGAAGCTGGAGCTGTGATCCAGCCAACACCCCCTGCAACAAGTCACCATTCATTTCACAAATCCTTTCAAAACCAGACAGACTATTGCAAAATAAAAACCAGCACATGTTTCCAGTAAAGACAGTGATGTAATGCAGCGCTTCAGCAGAGAAACACAGCCTGCAGAGGGTCTGACAGCTCTCGGTGGTGTATGACCTTCCTGGGTTGACAGGACTCTCTGCCGGGTATCCTGCTACTCACAGCCGGAAAACTCACCTCGTCCCTCGGCCCGGAGCTCCGTGAAGTCCGCCCCACAGCGGACGCTGACAGGGCCGCAGACCTGCTGTTTGACTGCCACAATGTTTCAAATAAACTGGCGCTCGTACAGTTTGTACTCCACCTCCGGCACTGTCTCCACCACGGACCCGCCATGTTCCCACGCAGCGTGCACCGGGACGGGTTATATATATCGGAACGGAACCGGAAAACAGTAACGAGGCGTCGTATGGTGACGTCATCACAACAAGGATTTTTTTTTCTTTTTTTTTTTTTTTAAATCACGTTCAAGTGCTCCTGGGATGCTCGGATTTTCAAAAGTTAAAAATGTCTTTCTCTGACTTTGGTGTGCTTCCAGTCGGTCAAAGCGGTCAAAGCATGAACTTTTATTACAAATAACTAAGTAACCGAGAATAATACACAATACTTTAATGGTCCCATAATGGTGTATGGTCCCTGTGTGCACTCAAGTAAGAACAGGTTATTAATGTATGTGTGTGTTGTATGGGATGGTGAGGTCTCCTGTGTTTTGGATTTAAAATATGCTTTTGAATCTATTTGTTCATTTTTTTTTTACGAGTTTTTATTGTGTTGTGTTTTTTTTGTCTTCTGTAAAGCACATTGAGTTTCTGTTTGTATGAAATTTGCTATATAAATTAAATTGAATTGAATTAAACTGAATAATTATAATTATAATCTATTATTGTATTTTTTTTATTTAACTGATGTAAATATGTTTGATTTTTTTAACTTCTATTTTTATTTTTAATAAATTATATTCCTGTTACCTGTTTTCTTGAGCTGCTGTAACCCATGCAGGATCAATAAAGTTTATCTTTATCTTTTTGAATGAAAAACAAGACATAGGATAACATTTCAAGAGTCCCGTCTGAATCTTGTTTTTCCGATTATTCTGGCTCTGCATGAAGGCGTCGTGACGTCCAGCTGCTACAGAGTTCAGAGGAGTTGGAGTAAAATACTTAGAAATGAAATTCAAGAAGGCAGTAGACAGTAAATCATGGATGTTTTGTTTTAGATAAAGCTCTACAATGAGTTTTTTTTAAACGTGAGGTCTCTTTAGAAAATACAACGACGTGTCGAGATTAGTAGCTGGGCAGCTAAAAGTAGCATAGCTGGCTAAATGTGATGCTATCAAACTCTGCAGGTGTTTTTAAAAGTCCTAGTGCAATATTTTGATTCATGAACCTAACTTATCTATGTCTATCTATTGTGCTTCAACAATACGGTTTACAACTGAGTGTAGCTTGTAAATGCATCATTTATAACAGGTTGATACATGAGCAGGTAGAAGACAACTTCTCCATTTGAAGTCATCTTTGTTTTTGTTGTTAAATAAATCTTCATTGTTTCCTGCTACACTGAAGGTAGCTGCTGTCTGTCAGTGAAAATGTGCAGTATCCACACAGTGTTAGTTTTGTCTGTATTAGCATTAGTCAGCGTCACACCTGTACAGGTACTGGAGTTCTGCCACAGTCAGGACATGAAGGCATCAAACACATTCAAGTCCAGGTGGAACATGAGTTCAAACCTCATGCAGGACCTGGACCAGTTCAGAGTGTCCTGCACGAAGCTCATAGGTAAAACTGACTCTTATCCATACACAGGTCCATGTGAAAGAGGTTTATGCAATTTAATGAAGTAATGGTTGTTGTCTTGTCTCTGCAGAGTCATTCCCAATCGATGAGCTCGATGCCAACTTTGTTCGTCATGTCAAAAACTGCATTTTCTCCAAATCTATTCCAACTCCACTGAGAGGCCCGTTGAGGTTGGCAGCAGTTTCCAAGGTGTTGTTTTATTATATTCATCACAAAAAGGGTTCATTAAAAAAAAAAAAGAGGATTTTTTTTAAACGTTTGACCATGTCTCTATAGGATGTCATTGAAGGCATCTTGGATTTCAACGTGGCAGTGACTCAGTCTGACGACTTTCTGAATTATGCCAGCGGTGGCCGACTGCTGCCAGGATCTGAACCGCTCGCACACAGATACGGAGGTCATCAGGTGATTTCTGATTTATTTTACAGCTTCATTTAAGTGAAGAAAAGTTTATTAACCGTTGGCTTCTTCATCAATTCAGCAGTTACTTAAGTCAATACTGCCTATGTACATTTAAACGCATATTGCTGATGACAGTCAGTGATACGGGTTTTCTTCTTCTCCATCAGTTTGGCTACTGGGCCGGCCAGCTTGGTGATGGTCGAGCACATTCTCTTGGTCAGTATACAAACAGGTGAGAGGATTTTTTTATGTTTCTTACATCTTTAAAGAACTGTATTTTCAAATAAACACAAGATACTTGAGCCTTCATGAAATGATAAGCGCTCAGTGAAGACATCCCTCATCCCAATTATGCCCTGCTTATAAGTTACACAACCTACCCGACGGCCTTTAGTTGCCACAGCAACCAAAACAGCATCTCCACCTTCAGCACACCAAGGAAGTGTTGAGGAGAACTCCAGGTATAGTGACAACACTAATCCTACCACATGACCAATTCTGGCCCCCACAACTCAACCGTGTAGGTTGATGGACAGATCCAGAGACATTGTTTGGGGTTTGAAGTGTGAACCTCCCTTCATCTGTGTTTTATCCGGGGATGCCGGGCAGTGAGCCCCTGCGTCCCAGAGTAACCCCTCTCCATGCCGACTCTCAACGCCCACCTCACCCACACGTAGAACTTCTATATCTTATATTTAAGTTGAATCAAAAGTTAAAGCTTTAACCGCTTCTATTTTCAAAATGTACCAAAGGAAAGGAGAAGTTTGGGAGCTGCAGCTTAAAGGCTCTGGGAAAACCCCTTACTCACGGTATGCTGTTGATTAATGTAGCCGCCGTGTTTTCCTCCTACTTCTTCTTTTATTTCATATTTGCCAAGTTTGCCAGCGTTTAATGTTGGCAACAAGACGCAACGATGTCTAACCAGAAATATCTATGTGATGTTTAAAATATCACCACAGATCAGGAGACGGTCGAGCCGTGATCCGCTCTTCTGTTAGAGAGTTCCTGTGCAGTGAGGCCATGTTTTCACTCGGTGTTCCAACCAGCAGGGCTGCCAGGTGAGACTGATGGAGTTATCTGAATGGATTTATTTGTGCAGGTTGTTTTCACGGCATGACTGTTTAGTTCTGTGATGTTTTCTGACCTCACGGTTGTTTTGCAGAATGTTTTCTGTTAACGACCTGATTCAACTTTTCTCTGTTTTAGTCTGATTGTGAGTGACGAGCCGGTGTTCAGGGATCAGTTCTACAATGGCAAAGTGAAGACAGAGAGAGGTACAGTTGTTCATGCGAAAACTTTGAAACTTTTCTGGATTTCATAGTTTGTTCTTGTTGATCCGTTTTATGTTGTTGTTGTTTATTTTTCCAGGAGCTGTTGTTCTCCGGTTAGCCAGGTCCTGGTTTCGGATCGGATCGTTAGAGATTCTGTCACAAAGTGGAGAAGTAGATCTCCTGAGGTGAGCCTTGTTTTCAGGTGTTCTTCACATACTGTGACCTCCTATTTCCTAAACTGAAGCGTAACGTAGCTCCTAACACAACTTCATGTTTCTGTTTGTTTAAGAAAGCTGCTGAACTTTGTGATAGATGAACATTTTACTTCAATCAACTCAGAGGACCCAGAGAAATATTTGGTAAGTTTTCTAAGAATTTGAGTTCTATGAAATGTTATTGCTTGATGTTACTTCAGTAGAGCACATACAATGAATTTAAAATAAAGTGAATCCAGGCATACTGTAAGTGTGATAAGTAAAAATGAAAGAGCCTTTTATTTTTCTGATAAATATCGGCGTTATGACTTTTTGCTTGACTTATTTTTTATTTTTTTGCAACTTTGTGTTTATTTTGCAATCCAGTTCATTTATCCAGACATAGTTCATTTATCCAGACATAGTTCATTTATCCAGACATAGTTCATTTATCCAGACATAGTTCATTTCTTACATCATTATTGTTTTTTTTAAATAATGTTATACAAAACAATAATAGAATGCAGAAGAAGAAAACAAAATGGTTATAATAATATCCTAGTTTGCCCAATATTTTTTGTAATTGAGAAAAATATAGCAACAAAAAACAAGCAACCCACATAAAAAAAAACACACACACAAAACAAAACAGAACAAAACAAAAAAGTGACACACACATCACCAGCGACAGAACCATGATTTACTTTCAGTTTTTGCAGCCACAATAGTGTTTCCATACATCCCCTATTCAGTATATATTTTAAATAAATTAAGATTCACCACATTTTCCCTTGCCACCTGTAACTAAACATCCTCCATCACTTGTTGCCATGGAAACCATCTGTCAAGGAATTTGGCATTTTGCAGTCTTATTTTAAAAGTTATCTTTTCCATTATGTAAATTCCTTTGACAAGTAATTTCCAAGACTTGTGGGTTGGGGGGGGGTCTCTCTTAAGCCAGTTCAATGTTATTGCCTTCTTGTGCTGCTATTAAAAGTATATATAATGTAACTTGAGTTCTTTTTAATAAACAAAAAAGACGATATTAAAGGAGCTTCTTTTCATGCTTTGTGTTTTAATGTTTCTAGGTGTTTTATTCCCATGTTGTCAATGAAACTGCTCACCTGATCGCACAGTGGATGTCCGTCGGTTTCGCACACGGTGAGAGAAGATTTTCTGCCCGATCATTTTATCCTTCAGTCTTTACCCACGCCCTCTCATGTGTATTGGCGTTATCACAACAGGTGTTTGCAACACGGACAACTTCAGCCTGCTCTCCATCACCATCGACTACGGACCGTTTGGCTTCATGGAGGCGTATAACCCCGGTGTGTACGATGATGCATTGTCTGACTATCATTACAATTTACTACCTGTAATATATCGGGCTCTTATTGAAGCTGTGGTGTTGCAGAGTTTGTCCCCAACACCTCTGACGATGAGGGTAGATACAGAATAGGAGCTCAAGCCAACGTTGGATTGTTCAACCTGGAGAAGCTCCTGGTGGCTCTGAGTCCTGTGCTTTCCCAAAAACAGCAGAAGATGTAAGGATACCAGACTGAACTTTGACTTTGTGTCCAAACACAAACCAAACCAAACACAATACCACCGCTCTCATTTGATCTTTAGTCATACATTTTGGCACAGGCATACTTGGGTCAGGTTTCTCACATGAAAACTTCCAGTTATCATCAGTTATACTCAGTCATTTTCAAAATCTGTGTCTTTCAAATGATATTTTCCACTGCAGATGGGTGTGTATATTTGAAAGCTAACTTGTCATACATGAGATAAAGGATGTCTTATCTCACTGCTCACAGAGTGGAGACGGACCAAACACACATCTGGTGGAATTTAGGGGTCAGTCTTCGGGCACACGGGGCTGCTTTTTGTTTCCGAAATGATTTTTACCAAAAAGTTCCATATCCCCAAAGACTGTCTCGTTTTCTTTATTTATGACCAGTCAGCAGTTTTTGAAATGTTCTTGAGATCTGTGCTACAGTATGTCAAGCCCATTCCAACAAGAGGAGTTGTAGGCACAACTAATGAGAACACTGTAGATATGTGACTTATGTCGACCTGTGGTTGTCAACAATACAACATGTGACATCATATTTCTCACTGTGGTGAAAGCGTGAGGAACAACAGGTCAGGAGAGCATGTGAAGTCGTCTGTCATGACTGAAAACATGTGTTTGTGTTTTTCAAAAGTCTTTTGAAGCTGTCGCTCATAATGTTCCTTTCTTTGTGCTCCACTCTTGTTATATTCTTTATTTAAGAAGTGTATAATGACTTTCTTATCTTTTCAGGGCTAACACTGTTTTAAAAGGATATGTGGATATTTATCAGATGAGGTGAGCCCCGTGCAGTCCTCCATGCTCTATCTCAGCACTGATTGTTATTTTTTCTAGACTGACTCACTCTTGCATTTTCAGGATCCACCAGCTGTTTAAAGCTAAACTGGGGCTTCTGGGTGAAGAGGAGGATGATGGCTATATTATAGCCTTCCTGCTGAAGGCAAGTCAATGACAATAATCAGATGCTTTCCAGTGACGAATCTCTTAATGGTACATCAATTTAATCAGTAAGCAAACTTTACTAATCAGCTTTTTTTAACTCTGAATCTTATTGTGTTCTTCTGAATAGATGATGGAGGAAACTCAGTCAGACTTCACCGTGACGTTCAGACAGCTCAGTGAAGTTTCAGCCAAACGGCTTCACAACAGGAACTTCACACAGGTAGAGCTTCAGTAGCTTCATGTCACACATCTGTTTGGATTTTGTTTTGAAAAGTTACCATGTAAAATCCTCCCTCTGAAAAAATCCAAAAACAAACAGAATCAGCGTATTTATTCTGGTTTGAATAACTTATTAAAATCATTTCCTATGTTTTTGTTTTGTATTAGATGTGGGCTCTTGAAGACTTGTCATCCCATGCGCTCTTCTCTGATTGGCTCAGCTCGTACGTGCTGCGGCTCAGCAAGTAAGCAAAGACGCGTAAAGCTGCTCACAACAGTTCATGCTTTTCTCTCTCGCATGTTTGTGTCATAATGTTGTGTGCTGAGGTTGTTTTGAATACATCAAAGTTCAAATTTAAATTGAAGTCTTTTTACTCCGTGTAGACAAGAAGAAGAAAATGAAGCGGCTCGTCAAAACAGAATGAAAAGTAAGCGGCTCGGGCTTCAGTTTCATTTTTTTTCAAGCGTGAAATATCCTTCTTGATCTGATTGTCAAAAACTATTTTGAAGATGTGAATCCGAGATACGTGCTGAGGAACTGGATGGCTGAGTCGGCCATCAGGAAAGCTGAGATGGATGATTTCTCAGAGGTGTGTATAACTCATTCAGCTCACATTGAAGTGATAAATCATAAGAAGAAAAATCAAAGCCTTGCCCTGCTCTAATTCTTTCTCTGTGACAGGACTTTAGATCAGTCTTTAACCTGCTGTCATTGACTCATCTCCCACTAGGTGGAGCTGCTGCACCACATCCTGTCCTCTCCCTTTGTTACACAAGAGACTGCAGAGGAGGCGGGCTATGCAGCAAGACCTCCACAGTGGGCGAGAATGTTAAAGGTCAGCTGTTCCTCTTGAGTGACACCTGGATGTAGAAAAAAACACTCAAAATAAAAACCTTCAAATAAACTCATTTATCGCTAAATTTTCTTGATGCAGGTTCGATATATTCGGTCAGAAATGTCAAGGTCACAACTTTTTACTGTTCAAGATCACACAGTGTGTGTTGATACAGCAACCAACTATAAGTTGATTTTGTCTTCTTGGCCACAGGAGAAGTTATTTGATTTTACTTTGACTACTTCACTACTTCCATCCATCCATTATCTTCACGGCTTCTCTCGTTCAAGGTCTCAGGGGGCTGGAGCTGATCCCAGCTGTCATTGGGCGAGAGGCGGGGTTACACACTGGATTGATTACCAGTCAATCACAGGGCTTACTTTACAACTTCACCTAGCGTTTTTTTCCTGAGCGCCTGTGTTCTTTTTTTCAATTGTTTCCAATGGGGAGAGAGCGTTGGCAGCAGAAAGCGGCCGCCTGGAGAAAAAGTGCAGCAACCAAGCACCTTTTTGTTTTGCAGCTGTTCCGAGTGTTTAAGTTGGAAAATTTTTTCGCAAGAGTGGGATTGATTTTTTTTAGATAATTTCCAGTTAGGTGGTTGCCTTTCGATAAACATATTTCATGTTTTATACAACAAGTGGGAGCAGATAAAACATGAAGACAGGATCATAATAAAAGACGTTCATTTCGAGGTTCATGGAATTTAAAAGTTTATTAAGGCGACGTCTTTTAAAAAGTACAGTATATTTATACACAGAATGCTTATCTATTGAGTGTTTCTAAAGTATTTACAGGCGTCCATACAGACATGTGGCAATATATATACAATTCTGTAAATCTTTCTCTTTGAAGTTTGAAGACAACTTTACATTTCTAATACACGTTTGATGCCTTAATAGATAAATCCTGTTAATGACGGCAGATTATACTCAGTCCTAGGTGTTAGATCTCTGTACAGTTATAGTTTAAACCCTAAACCAACATGCATAGGCCTACATATCATTGATTTACTCCTTTTCCCTGTGACAATGAGTAATTACAAGTTGTTTCCTTGAGATTACAACTTATTTATCTTGTTATTATAAGATGACCATGCTGGTTTTCCTGCAATAACGACTTATATTCAGTTGTTTTCTCGACATCTCGACTGATTTTTCTTTATTTCTGGGGTAACAAAGCTTGTTTTTCTTGTGATGATGGGATCATTTTCTGGTGATGTAGAATACAAAAACAATACACCGTTCACTGTGGTAGTCCGGACCACAACACGTCATGCTACCAGTGGCCAAACTAATGAGTAAGTTAAGCCTATTTCTGTTTGTTTTTATGCTTTTGCAACTCTGAGGATGTAAGAAAAATAAGTCAAGATCTCCAGAAACACCACAGAGAATCCTCTTCATCACTGGATCACAGATGTGTATGGATGCACGTCAGTTTAGGGTGTCCAGAAAAAGAAACATCGTACCCCTGCTTAATGAGCTTTTATTTCAGGCAGTTTAGAAAAAAGATGACATCTCACTTCATGTTGGAGATGTTTCTTTCTGAAATCAAGTCGAGGCTGATAAAGTTAGTTGTGCGAACGCAGCTTGACTTGACCACAAATTCTTGGTTCAGCCTAAGTACTTCGCTTTTTGTTCATGGCCAGCATCAGTTCTGACATGAAGTCCCCACCTCCTCCTCCTCCTCCTCCTCCTCCTCCTCCACCTCCTTGTAGCGATGGTGTAGTACGCTTAGGCGTGGCAGGAGGAATCTTCTTCACTGAGCCAGACGGTCTAACTGGTGCTCTTGGAGCGGCGGCGGCTGTTGGAGGCGGCGGCGGGGGAGGAGGTGGAGGAGGGGCTCCGGCTCCTGTAAACACTGGCTGAGGTGGAGGTGGTGGTAAAAAGCCCGGATCAGGAGGTGGAGGTGGCAAAGATTGGCCCATACTTCCAAAACTACCAGGGGGAGGAGGTGGTGGGAAGGAGTTACTAGGTGGAGGAGGAGGTGGAAGAGAACCAAAGCCGGCGGCAGGAGGAGGGGGCGGGAGGAAGTCCGGCGGGGCCTCTAAGGCGTCATCCATTGGTGGGGGCGGTGGTGGAGGAGGGAGGTTGTCCATTGCAGGTGGAGGTGGAGGGAAGTTTGTAGGCAGGTGTCGCTGGGGAGGAGGAGGTTTTGCTGAGTTCTTGCGTGCCAGAGGAGGAGGCGCAGGGGGAAGGAACGCGTCAGGACGAGGTGGGGGGAGAATATTCGCCATTGGTGGGGGTGGAGGAGGGACGTTTCCAAAGTCCTGAAAGATAGAGTTCAAATATAAAGATAAAGAAACTACACAATCAGACATGTTTTAAAAGTGTTGTTCACCAGGCGGATGGGTCTAACTTAGAATGATGCTCCTGGTGAATTATGGGAAATGTAGTATCCAGACTCAAACATTAGACATGAAGTCAGAATCAGTCAGTCTCTATTTCTTTGATTGTGTTAGTGTGCTGCTTCTGAATGCTCAAACTTGACTAAACCACAATAACAAACAAGTTGTAATGATTTATGAACCTGTGAATATAGAGTCAAAGGTTTAAGATTTCTAATTTTATGTCCCATTTATCAAAGATTCAATGGATACATTTTCACATTTCTACATAAATTAGTTTTAGATGGCAGTTCCCAAATTGAGACGCTTCAATACTTAGATTATTAGATTTCTCGAACCATTCAACGCATGTTCCCTGTGAATTTACCAACACACAACAGTTCAATTCTTGTTGAGTGTTTTTACACATTTTCTGCTTTTATCTGTTTTTATTATTGTAAATTAATTTGAATGAATAGGGCGCCATGTCAAAACACAAAAGCATCATCTTGGGATTATAAAAAAAGGTAAAGATTTTTGTGAAATGTGATAAACTCAATGATTATAACATGACAAATGACATTGAAAGAGATCATTGGTTTCAGCTATTTAAACTTAAGAGGGTTGTACCTGAGACACAGGTCCTGGTTGGGGCTTCGGAGCGTGACCATTGGCCTGGCTTGGTGATTTAGCTAGCAAAGAAGAAGAAAACATGAGTAATCATATTCTTAAAGTAAAGTTTTACACAATTTTCATCCCATCTGGGCTGTTTTTACATCAGAGAAACACACTCTGTGAGCCGTGTGTGTGGTGCTACCTTTGATGGTGGGAGAAGGTGTCGATGAACTGGAGCTCGATGGCGTGCTGCGGTTGGTCCACACGGAGCTGACGGCAGCCTTCTCTGCTGCTTTAAAGTTTTCATACAACGACGCACCGTACTGCAAGTCCAAAAAAAAAAAAAACACACCAAAGACCATGAGTTATTTTTCTAATGGAGATATTTCTTATCATGAGATGCAGCGTTGGCTCAGTTTACCTTTGCGATGCGTATTCCTGTCACCCAAAGGTTCATGGTCCAAGCATCATCACAGCACAGGTACTTGATGTACTGAGAGTCTTTCTGGATCTGAGGATGCTGTAGAGACAAAAACAAATCTTGAGCAGATCCATTTCCCGTCATAAAGAGTAGCTGTAAATGCAAATTCACTGCTGTGTAATCTGTATTTCACATCAACACCTCTACTTTACCTCCCTGTAAAGTATGTTTGCATTTGAGAGAGACTTGATTTTTTTACTTGAGGTGATTATTAATGACTGTCATGTAGAATTTCTAGTTTTTGTATTTTTCTTTACTCTAGTGTTAGATTGTATTTACTGTGTATTTATTTCTCTGTGGCACTTTGTTTGCTCTGCTTACCTGCAGACAAATTTCATTTTTTTTACCCCTTCTACCCCCACCAATGATATGTACTTGTTATTAACACAGTTTGGGCAAAATATCAATCCTCTCAGCTTGATTCTTTAGGGACTCAAAAACAAAGACGTATGTGCAAAGTCCCAATTTAAAGTACTTCGAAAATCGCATTCAAACTCTTGTACGCTGTCTAACTTGCAAAAATACATTAACTGGAAAGTAGGTCCATTACAATACTTTGCATGTATGACAGTGTGCACAAGTTTTTGCTTTGAGATTTTATGGAAAGAGCAAAGTATTTCTTTACAATTGAAAGCACTAACAAATAAAGTTGCTACATTTTCATTGCCTTCATTTCAAACATTACCCACACAGTGCAAAGCGTCTGCTGACATTGCACACAGATGTTTTTCTAGCCTCGATCGGCCTTAACTTTTTAAACTGGTATTTTTCCAACCCAAGTGTAATCAATGTTCAGCAAGACCTGTAAACAGCGATATCATAGGCTACCACAAGGGGGCAGAGTTAGTCCAGAATCAGAATTTTAATCAGCAACAAGAGTTAACTGGATGTTTGTATTTTCAATTCCTGTTGGTTGGAGTAGTCCTGTCAGCATTTCTGGGCATGAAACTAATACATTAGGAAGCAGAGAACTTGCGGTCACATGTGCACATTTGAGTTCATCCTGTAATCAGTGAGTGAAAAAATAAGAGATGTTTGATGCTCTAATAGTCGTATTTGTTTGCCAATAAGTGTCCACAGCGGTTCTGATTTGAAAACTATTTGCTGTGTCATCGTACTTGTAAATTGTTTCCCCCCTGAAAACGAAGAAGATGATTTCCAGCATAATGTTTTGCTATCAGTTGTACATAATGAGGATGTTATTAGCGACCACCTCAGGCTGCTCCTCTGAATATAGAACAGCTACATCATGAACTTAAACAGATTCACTCTCGTCCTCGAGCTGCTGCAGCTTTGGACGCATGTAAACACAACTTCACTGATGTGTCAAAACACACCCATGTTGAAGTGTTTAGCAGAGTTATTAGTGTATCATCTGCATACTATGTGTAGCAGCTTTTCTGGAGTTTCACTTCTTATTTCCTCATTAAAAACAAGGACAGAGACCATGAGAAACCGGGTTATTCTTTCCAAACATCCACCCTCACAGGCCATTTTCCTTTGACGTTGGCTGGCAGCACATACAGTCTCCTCCCTTCAGCTTAAACCTTGAAGACGGTCTCTCACAGGTGGGTAATACAGTTTCTCTGCCTCTCTAAGCTTTTTCTTTTTTTTTTTTGATCCTCCAAAAGTAGTCTAAAGGTAATCTGCTGATTCTTCTATTTCCCAGACGAGATAGAGGAAAAGAAAGAATGCAGACTTTCACATCCCTTTAAGAGTGACCACCAACCCATAAAAACCTTACTTTTTTTTTATGCAAGTCAGCATTTCTTGGTCTTAAATGAGAACTGTGGCTACCTCTCATCAATGTTAATATTCCCAAGTTCTCTTCTAATTAAATGCACAGAGCTTTTACTGTAAAGAAATATAAGAAACTACTTCAAAAGGACCCGTCTTTTCTTCGCACCACATTTGGCTAAATTGGATGAACCAGTCTCCTTTCACTTCTTCAAATTAAACTATTTATTGCATTTCACATTTCCAATACAGAGATCAGCTGTGCAGCCAATTGTGTATCCTCCAGCAGTAGTGCACCAATATGTCTTGCTAAACTGTGTTGTGTGTTCCTCATTGCACAAACAGAATGTTTTCTTTAGCGTCACAGTCTGGGTGGATTGGGGGGGAAGTTGAAGCTTCTGTGTTGATCAGTTTAACCATGACTGGGTGATAGATTTACGAACAAACAAATGTAATGCTTACTCACCTTCAGGACAAAGCAGAAGTCAGTTGGAGCTTTGTATCTGGTCTTGAAGTCTTTGCCGTAGTACACGTTCATATTGTCAAACTGGACAAAGCAGACGAGGTCACGGGATGACTGAAAGAAAGAAAGATTGGTTAAAAACAAACCAGTCATGTACTCAATTATAATATCTGTCCTTTATGTTTTTTGCAATTACCCACGTTGGTACTTTTGGGCTAATTCCGGCATACTGACATGGAAGCTATTTGCTGATATGTTGATTCATGTGCTAATGTCCTAATTCTATAAATAAATGAGACTTTGACGTCCCTGTCGAGTGACACTGGTAACAGTTCTGCGCTGACAGGACGGAGGGGGGAGTGGGAGTCCCTCGCACTTAATGAAAACAAACATGGAAGACAGCTGTGATGGAGAGACAGTGAGGTGTTAGGCCGCGGAAGTATTTGGGGTAACACAGAAAGTGTCTGCAGTGTGAATGAAACTTTCAAGTCACAGCCAAACAAACACAGTGTGAACGTAGTCTATTACTGCTTGATTTGTCATCTTTAAGCCCTGCTGCTTAACTTGCACTATCCCAATCTGAAATGATCCTGGACTAGAGTATTAGCTGTTGGACATGTGTTTATAGTCAGGTCTTTCCCACAAAATGATGCCCCCCCGTTTGATTCCTGACCTTTGTCTTCCCTTTGGGCACGTAATAAATCCCAGAGGCCCTCAGCTGGAAGAGCCGCTGCTTCCAGGACTTCTTGCCGTCTTCTTTGAGGTACAGCACGGCCTCGAGATCGGGCACGATGACAGAAGTCCCGCAGAAGTTCTCCTGCAGAGGCGAGCAGGGGAGTGAAAGAAAAGGGGGTCACTGAGTTGAGGTCCCACTAGGAAAACTTAACTTTAACTTAAGAAAATATCATGAGTGTGACTTTATTTACCTGTACTAGCAACTCCTTGTCTCTGTCTTTTATTTCTTTGAGCGCTTTCTTATCTTTCTTCCATAGATAAAAGTTCTGCAGGAATAAGACAGACAGAGCGTTAGTGATCATAGTACATCAGCAAACTAACATAAAGGGTTCGTTTAGCCATGTTAGCAATCCTGATTAACACAAGTATGTAACAACTATCACAATCTTAATATCTGTGTGAGTATGGGCATCTATTTTTGTTTGGTTCCTGTTAGGTTGATAGATCGTCCTGTGTGAAAGCTGAGGTTTATTTTAATGACTTTATTTATACACCTAGCTAGGTAGATTTGGTTTACAAAATGTTAGCATGCTAACAGTCCAAACCTCAAACACTGAACAAGATGAATGTTTCTCTACTTAACATCAGACTTCCAGCATTGCTATATTGAACACATTAGCATGCTCACTTTAGCATGTAGCTTGAAGTGTTTCTGTGCCTCATTGGTACAGTGACAGAGCTGCTAGCCTAGCATACAGCTAATTGTTTTATTAGTCTGGTCAAGGATAAAAACATGCAACTTTTTAAGTATTTTTTTTATACAAACATTAAAGCATTAAATTGAGGCTAAGAATCAGATTTGGGTTCAAGTAGGTTTAAATCTATGAGGAAAGTTGTCTTTGTGTTTTGGTGCAAAAACAATGAACACAAAAGTGGAATAAAAAACGTAAAATCTTTTTAACAACATTACACTCATTGTCAAGAAACTTCAACACTTGTGGAAAAGTAAAAACATATATAGAAACAAAAACAAGAACTTACAAAAGGTGGAATGAAGGCGGTGTAAAGATAATAATGAGCGTGACGGCTAGCTTTTAACTTTTCAATCGCCCTTAAACCTAACTCTTTATTCTTTTATGTCCGGCCAAGTTTCCTTTTTTATTATAGTCTGGATCTATATTTGGTCTGTGGTGAGAGAAAGCCTGAAGGGGAATTCTTTTTTTGGTAGCTCTTGTCAAACGTAAAAACTGTAAATTGATGTCGACGTTCTGTATAAAACAGGCCTGTCTTTTGATGGAGGATGTGGAAGACATGATGAAGTATTTAAAAAAAAAAGGAGAATAATACGTAGCTGGTTTTTCCAACCTGGCTGTTTGTCTCTGCCAACAGACCGAATCCATTAAACACTCAGATTATAAAAGGGTTCCCGTTATATCAACAAACATGCCAAGATCTTGATGTCTTGTGCCTGAAGCTGTTTGGTCTGATATATTACAGTGAGGATATAAATGTAAGAGGTCATCCCACATGAAGGAAAGACATCTCATAATTCAGACAATAATTCAGCAGTGAAAATAGCCAGATGGCGCAGGGCTGAAACAACGTCGGAGATAGATATTACACAAACCTATGCCAAGAGTAATGAACAGGCCAGTGTTGCACACCATGTCTGATTTTGGAGGTATATGAAGGAGTATACAATGAGTGAGGGGACCAACCTGTGGGTTTCTGAACATGTCATTCTTCTCTGTCCGCTCCTGAAAGAGGACTTTATTCTCGGTGTCCCTCGTCCACGCTAACAGAGGCTCCACAAGGTTCTCGTGGTCTTCAAATATCCGTTCTGTCAGAATAAAAAAAAGGAAATTTAAACGTTAGCAATCCTGCAGTGATAGTTATGTGATTACTTACTGAAAGCCAACATGTGGAGGAATACTTTGAGGTTGTATGACCTTTTGTAGCATCTTTTAATCGTACTCGGTAAAAGTTTAAATACCTCTTTATTGTGCTCACGTAAAGCGATATAATAAATACATTTACTTGCTTTATCACCCTACATAAAAACACAACTTCTCTATCTTTAATAGCCGTAAGAATTTACTCTGCAGATTGAAACACTTCCGACAGCGCTTTAATAGGGAAGCCCTAAGCGGAAATGTATCAAGGCTAAATTCTCATTTCTCCATTCTCCTGTGATTAATCATTTCTGATTGTTTGCTCATATCCCGACTTATTTTTCTTATTTACCACAGTAGAACAAAGCTGGTTTTCCCATCAGATTCATTTAAGTCATTATCTCGAGATAACTTGCTTGTTTTCTCGTGATTATGAGATCACGGTCTAGATAGAAAAGAAAAGAAAAGTCCAGATCTTGAAAAGACAGCAGGAAATAACTCATTATAATGGAAAATGTTGTGAATAAAATGTATGGATGCATGTCTGCTTTAGGCCCCCGTACTCTTTGGTTCCACCAGAACTACCAACAGTCTGAGCTTCATACTCTCCATGGCCTTTCTGTTTTGATCTTTTTTTACCATGAATCCCGTCAAAAGGAATGCTTTGTCGTATGTACAGTAGTTCAGTCTGTAACAAAATCTTTAAATCAGCTGAGCTTGGTTCAAAGTGAAATTCACAGCTCTGCCATTGTCTGTTTCTGTGGGTGGACTCAAGGAGGGGCTCGATAAAATACAAGCTTGACCATTCACTGGAAGAACTTTAAGTGGCACTAAACATCGACAACACATTAGGGCCACTTTTCCTCTTCCTCCTCCTCTTCACCCACACACACACACACACACACACACTCACAGATCTCCATCATGGAGTGGGCATTAGACTGTAGTTTAGCCCCGTCCCCAATTACAGGATACCAGGCGAGGCAGAGGTAGGCATTAAATAGATTGCAGCCAGGGTTCCAGTCCATAGTTTGACTATTACAATCATTAAACGGATGCTGTGACTTTGCTGTTGGAGTGAAAATCTCTTTGAAGTGCATTAACCACATGGTGTGTTTCGGCGGTGTGCATGGTTAGCACATGGCTGAATTCAACAGCAGAGGTTTGTTGGTGCTGATGTTGAGCTCTGTGTGAGGGGTTTTTTTTCACGCTGATTTTCCTTGACCTTTTGTTGTTAAAGGTTTGAAGTTGAAGACTATGTGCACTGGTTGGTATGTGACACACACTGGGGAGTTTACGGACATTTAAAAATGAACTCGTGTAAAATGTTTCCATTGTCAAACTGTCATAAAGTCCACTCAGTCAGAGATGACACAAGATCCTGTCCTCCCCCAGTGAGTCAAATGATCCAAACATCAGAAGTTTGTGGGTTGTGTGACATGCTTCAAATAGCTCCTCTGACAGTTGATTTAAACATGGGCTGTCATTTGGTTAAAAATAAACTGTTGACCAAAGGGAAACACACATTTCCTCATTAGTTTTTCTTGGCAGCATAATGAGTGAAGTCCTCTTTCAAAGTTCGTCCACAGTTCTTCTTGTTTTGGGATTGACATTTTAAAGTAAAGTATCTGATGTTTGATTTGATTTTTTATCTTTTTTTTAATTCTTCATTGCCACTTTAAGAACATACAACATTTTCTACAAAATCTCGTAGAGAATGAAAATACAACTGAAGACAAGGAACAAACTAAGTTAATCAAAGTTACGCTGGGGGGGTTTACATAAAAGTTAAGGCTGTCAGCATTAACAAGTGTTGTTTACGGTGAGAAGGCAGACTCAGAGGGCAGAACAAACACCTAGCTGTGGGAGTGTCACCCACCTGGGGGAGGGGCTACTGCCCTTTGTGATGTCATGAAGGGAAAACCTCCAAACGGAATGTTTTGAGCACACATTTTCTGAAAAGTAGAGCATGGAAAAGACGGAGAGGATGGACTTTTCTCATGATAGGGGGGTTTGTAGACAGACTAGGGACACATATTAGTGTTAGAAAAACATGTTGAAGCGCATTTCACATAATATGTACAAGGTGTTAGCTTATAGTATTTCTTTTTTTGTTGTTGTCAACGATTCTCGTGTGATTTTTTTGTAATCAGCGTCCCCAAAACTTGACAGACCCTTTTAGTCCTCTGTGCTGTCGGCCTGTATGAATACGTTAATGTGACGCATCATTGCACTGGGTGACATGATTCTCAATTAAGTTGAACACAGGTACTGTAGACCAGTTGTTCTCAACTCTGGACCCACCAACAACTTCTGAATGAAAAATCGCGACCCACATTGCTGATATTTTTTAATTAGATTTGTTTTACGGAAAAAAAGTGGTGTTTGGACCACAACCGTACAAAACAAGTTTTAAAAATGCATCATTTTCGGGCACAGATTCCCGACCCACTAAAAACGGCTTTGTGACCCACATTCGGGTCCCAACCACCCTGTTGAGAACCACTTAATGGAATCTTAGAAAATAAAAAAACATGAAATAGTTCCAGGCTTATCCCTAATTTAGAGTTTCATGGTTTAACTAGCTGCATATAAAATTACCTGAATATCATTTTCACACAAAATAATATTAACGTATCTCACAGAGGTTAATGACTTTAACAGCAGGGTCTCATTATAAACGCTTTCAGGGAGGTGAAATGACTCCCTGTTGACATATGACACATAAAATTGGTTCTGTAAAAATATGAATCATTTATAGATAACCATCTGATGAAGTTGTTATAAAAAAGAAAAAAACAGACGGTAAAGAGCAGCAAATGGAGAAGTCCAGCTGAAGTAAATATAGCACAGACTGCTCAGACGGAGGATTGAGATCATAAGGCTTCTATTTCCGCATGACAGGGAGGATGACTGACAGTGTCCGATACAGCAAATTAAACCCACCTGCCTACACTGTGTGTGGGTGTGTGTGTGTGTGTGTGTGTGAAAGAGAGAGAGAGAGAGTATAGAAAAGAAGAGGAGGAGGGAGAGACAGATGAATCAGAGTCAGATCAATGTTTCATTGTGAGCTCGCTGCAGTGTGGCCGCCATCGTGCCAGTAAAAACACAGTCCATCATCTGGACATGAATGAAATATCCCACCGTGCACAGTGTGCGTTTATGTGTCAGTGTGTGTGTATGTGTGTGTGTGTTCAGTGGACAATTCATATAACTGAAGGCTTGTGTTGTTAAAGTGGCAGTCTGCTTTACCACTGCTGTGTTTTCCTTGTTCTGCTGATGTATTTGCAGCAACACTTGCACCTTATGCCGTGGCGGTTTAATCAACTGTCAACATAGTCGAGTCTCCAGTGTGCCATTTTATCTTTGTTAACGTTGTTGCTGTTTCCAGTAAGCCTTTTCAGCAGCCCGGTTATTATTCCAATTATTCCATACTTTTGCTTTATTTTGTACTAAATCATCTTTCATTTTCCCCCTGAAAATCGTCAATCTGTCACGAGGTGTTTAAATAGCAAATAACAGACTGAACCACTGCGGTGCTTTATCAACGGGTGACAACACATTAATAAAAAAAGAGGATTGTTGATGGATTGATCACAGCTTATAAACACTCCTCAGCCCTCTGTGCATGGACAAAGAGGCACTGCTTCAGTCGCCAATAGTCCGTAGGTTATAACCTCTTTGCTGTTGGCTCTATTGAGATGAGATGAGATTTGATATTCATTTCTATGCTGATGACACCCAGCTTTACGTGGCTGTGTTTTCTGATCATACAAAAGCTATAATGCTATTTATAGATTGGTTAGGTGTAAAGGCATGACTGTGAAGGTGTGACAAATTTCAATGACTCACCATGAAAGAGGCAGTGTTTTAACACCTAATCTGCTCCGAAATGCACAAAGACACGTACAGCACATGCAAATATTCAGTCACTAGCAACAATGATTTGATCAACATCATGTTTGCATGATGTGGTCTTCACTTTACATGCTGAAACATTATGTTTAAATGCATTAGATTGCCCTCCCGCCACATAGTAGACACAGGAAGTAACATTTCATTGTTTCAGTGGAAACAGCTGCAAAATAAAAATCTTAAGGAGTCACCCTGAGTCGACAGGCAAGAAGCTTCAGTGTCGCCATACAAACCATAAGGTTTGGTTCATCATCTATTCGGACCATTTATTTTCTAAACAAATAACTAAAGAGGAACTATTTCCCACATGATACAGAGAGCAGCTAGACTGCTCAACGTTCTCCTTCATAAGTAAAAACATCAGTACAGTTGAAAACTAACTTTAACCACTTCTATTATATTTATCCTTTTTCTTTTTTGTGTGTGCATTAGCAACCAAGTCGGTACCTGTTTTATTTTGTTTCACTTGTTGTTTGAGTTCGGTAAAATACTTTGAATTCCGCTGATGTGCATGACAGCTGCTCTGAAGATGAAGTTGGATTGACTGGTAGACATAAATGCAGTCTTAGCGCTAAGTAACATACACTACATGCTAGGCTAACGCACATTTGTTGCTACATTGGAGTGACTTACCAAGATTCAGTTCATAGTTGGTCTCACACAGGCTCCAGTCCACATTGCAGTCGCAGTGAGTCTTCTCAAACAGATTGTCCAGAACCTCCCTGACGTTCTGCCTCTCGTCCACCATCAGGGTCTTTGAGCTGCCGTCAGTCAACAGCACCTTCACCACCAGCTGTCGAAAAAATAGGACTTTGGTTCACTTCTTGGGTATTTTCTCCAACAAATAGATGACGGATTCAAGCAGTGAATTTAATTTCAGCATTCTTGCTGAGAGTTTGATAAGACAAGATCGACACAAGAGAAGTAGCAGGTAGCTTAGCTTCTCAAAGTTAACGGTTGTAGAACACAAATGTTCTTTTAAGTTTATGTTTGGACAACAACATGAGATATAACATGTTATTTGTCATTTTTAAAACCAGGTCTTTTCTCAAGGCTAATAGTTTCTCTTAAACAGACTTTAACTTCTACATGTAACGCCCTGAAAAAAGGCTTAAGTGTATTTCCTATAATGTCAAACCATCGAAGTTACCACGCGGTTTCCTGTGTCATCTGCAGACTGAAGCTCGAAACGTTGCTGACAGCAGCAGGTGTCTCTGAAGTAAGACATCAGATCCAGCCTTGAAGCACATGCAGCTTGTTTATTTTCCACTTTAATTACAGGCTTTCCAGAGTAAATGGTTGTTTCTGTTTCCTGATGCTAGTTAGAAGAGTTGGAGCATCAGCACTTCTGTCTCATTCTGTTTAACGTCTTTTCCTTTTTTAATAACTTCTTCCTCCTTCTATTTGACTCTTTCTGCAGTCTTGCACCTCTGTTTCTCCCAAGCTGGCTGAGATTAATTTTGCTCTGGAGCGCTGCAGTGCTTTCCTCACAGGCTCATATGGCTTCACACTTCCTCTCATCTGAAACAAATCCCGCTTTGGACTCCTGAGGAGTTTCACAGAACCGAGGTCAGCCAGACGCTTGCCTTGTCTCATAAAAATGTGGGTTTCAGAGATGTTATCAAGCGGGTTTAAAGTGTTAGATCACATGTTCCCCTGTCTCGCCCTTCCCTGGAAAACAATATGGGTTTGGCGTGTGGTTGAATGAAATGTCACTGGGTATCAAATTATGTTTCCTCTTGCAGAATTTCCTATGTATCTACAAAATTCATGACCCGTGTCGAAAGCATTCTTCGGGACCGGTGGGTTTATCTGAAACCTGAGGGCCTCTTACCACAGATGGATCTGTTGAAACCTCTGAGACCACACCTTGCTCTTCTGCATCTAACAACCCAGGGACAGATGTTCCTGTGAAAGTGGCCTGTGTTTCCTCTTTTTTTTCGTTTACCAGTTCCCTTTAGAGACAACTAAGAATTTTAAATTACCATATTAACTGGGAAACAAGCAACTGTAATAGGTAGTTAAATAAAGATAGAACTTGAACCATATCCTCAGTCTCTTCACTTATGATAACAGTAGTGTATGCAATGGCATGAAACTAGTGGTTTGTATAAAATGGCAGATCCTTATGTGAAGCTTTGGATGTGAAACCACATGTCAGTACTTCTTTGGGATTGCTTTGAAGATGAGATAGTGTCCACGCATCGCCCAGAGAGGAAACCGTACCGTCCTGCAGGATGTTGGCAGGATGAAAGCAGCACATCCATTACTCTGATTGATGGCTCATCCAAAAGAAAAGAAAGAGCCCTACTATGTTTCAACATTACGTCTTTTACAGTCATGTCCATACAGTTGTAATTCACAATGTCTTTAAAGTTTACAGCACCAGTGGATGTTAGATCAGAGGAGTACACTTCAGTGTTTGGCCGGCTTACCTTTTTCACTTTAGCTTCTTTGAGCTTCTCGAGAGCCAGCTTGATTTTGTCCGCTTTCATCTGCGCTTCGATTTCCTCCTAAACGGGACAAATAATAACATCTAATGAGACATTTGTACTATAATTAAGCACATTATTATGTTCACCTGCCACTCGTTATGGTCTACAATGTAGTTTAAGTCTGGTGCATGCTATCATTCAGCCATTGTATTCAAACTTATACCTACATATAACGGAAAATGTTCCAATAATTAATACCAAAAATGTGTAGTTAGTGTAAATAATCATGTGTTACATAAAGTGAAAGTTTATAATTTTGGGAAAAGAAAACTTATAGTGCCTCGAATTAGATATGAATTTCAATAATATTTCCTACTGGTTTGTTGAATTGGTAAAGCTACAGCTCGCAGCTAGTTAGCTTAGCTGAGACTAGAACTGAACAGAAAATAAAAAAGATAGCCTGCTCTGGTTAAAGGTAAAAAATGACCTACAGTACGAACACCTCTACATGTCACAAAAAAGCCATTTAGATCATGAAAAAAACAACGGTTATTATGTGCCAAAAGCGACTTTCTTGTGTCTTTTATCACTGTGACATAGCCAAAGGCCAACCAGCGGGGACTCCAGGAAGTCATTGCTATTAGACTGAGAAATAGTCTGGCACATACCAGGCAGTTAAACCATAAATTGTAACTTCTTCTTTATTTAGTACAAAGTAAATAAACCATATACTAGCTTCTGTTTTTCTTGAGCTTTCTGGATGCTGGTAGGTGGGTTTTATTACCTTTGGATGAAGGCATATAAGCTTTTTCCCTCCTGTCCAGCCTAAGCTATTTGCATATTTTTGTATTATCCATGAGCGTGGTATCTTTCTTCTTATCTAACTCTCAACAAAAAGACTTAAAAACATGTTTCCCAAAATATTGGACTATTGTTTTAGAAGGCTGCAAAATGTAAATCAGTGGCGAGTTAATTTCTGTTGCAGGAGGTGTCGTGTTTTGTTTGGATAGAGTTTTAATTTCAAAACTGGAGTGTTAATTCAAGACCTTCATCCGGGACGTTACACATAATCTGCTGAATCTCAATTAGCTGGGATAGGGTAACCTTTTCCTTGGCTTAGGAGTCAGGTGCTAGTTCATAAAAATCCTGTCTCCAGTGCAGATTTAATGAACTTGTACACCTTTAACAATGACACATTCTCTGCCTCAGCACAGCTGGTGTTTTTACCTCAGAAGGATGAGGTAACAAGCCCTGCTAAAGCAATAAGCTCCCGTCTGGCTTCACCCCCCCCCCCCCCCCCCCACCCCCCACCCCCCTGCCGCTGCCAGATCTTACCTCCCCTACTCCAACCTTTGGTATTGATCCTGTTACTCTTTTCCTGCCTCATGGCTGTGTGTGTTTGATCTGTTCCAGACAAACTGCTCGGCTGCTGTGCCTCACAAAGCTCTGTAACTGTAACAGATGCCTCCATCCGGCAACCACTTCGCCATGATCTCACCGTCCAAGAGTCGTAACAGCAATACTACTCTTCCCATTTCAACAAAGACAAAAAAGACTCACCAGAAATTCATATGCTGGGAACTGGGGATGTTTTTGTTGTAATACTGTCTTGTCACGCAGCAGGGCTCAGAAAGTGCTTTCTGGTAAACTAAGACACACCACCAATGAAATGAAGATTGTGACATTATTGCCTCTTTTTGCCTTCTGTTTCCCTCTATGCATACTGTATTTTAAGAGCAATGCATTGCACAGAAATGAGTCAAAATTTTTCATCACTCTTTTACTTTCCTTGAAACTTTCCCTCCAATTTCTCTATTACTCGAGATGAAGACACCCACTTCTTTAATTTTGGACCAGTTCCCAGTAGAGAGGTCAGAAGGTTGTTGCATAAATGCTGCTCTTATCTTCAGAAAGTTCTGCTGACTCACCATTGTAGGCTTTGCAGACTGAGGAGGCGGAGGTGGCAATGGGGAGGCGGAGGAGGAGGCTGGGGTGCTAACATTGCTGCCGGTGCTGCTCGCGGGTGATGTTGGGGAAGCGATGGAGGAAGCAGAGTAGGTGCTTAGGCCCTTAGGTGGGGCCGGCAGGTCTGATGAGGGCGGTGGTGGCACCTTCTGATCTTTCATCTGCGCCGTGAGTTTCTCTTCTGTTGCATTGATGTCGGCTACCAAATCGGCCATGAGAGCATCCAAATCATGGTCTTCCAGTTCATGGAGGGACTCTGGTGGTAGAAGAAACTACATTATTTCTAATGAAGACAAAGTCCAAAGATATTTTCAATATCGGTTCTAATATATTGAAATATATAAATATATATATAGGTTCTAACCTATAACCTCTCCTTAAAAATGTTGACTACTGAGCAAATTTTTTAAAACTACAATCAAGTAGAAGATTCCTTGGTTCCTTTTTTGAAACAGCTTGTACTTTCCCTAAACATTCAGAACTATATTTATGTATTCATTGTGCAATAACAACTAAATGAAAGTATTTCCTACATTTCGTCCCTTATTCATCTTCCCTTTTCTCCCGTGACAAACAAAGGCTAAAACAATAGTTAACGGTCTAAAGGTTACATTTATTGTTTTAGAGAAGTCATTGTTCATCTGTTGGTCAACCAATCGACTGCAAGTTTAGTCTGAAATATCTCAACAACTCTTGTTTTGCCATGAGATTTGTACAAATCAATGATATTTCCCTAGGGAAAGAAGTGTGCTGACATTTCCTCACCCCCCACTGTGAGATTGACGTTTGTCTTTATTGAGGAAGGAGTCTCAACAACTACTCGAATTTGCCTTAATAACCCCATCAAGAACATTTTGATCATTTTTCAACCAACATTATTATCAGGTAAAAAACACACTTTCATTTGCTTTTATTTTGGTTTGACCAACTAGTTGGCAGACGACAAATAACCCTTTTATCCTTAGCAGTACTTTGTGTTAATTATCAAATGGTATCATGCTAACCTGCTAACCTATCGTGGTTAAAGTAACAGCTAAACATGGATTTAATTTTTAAATGTTGTTAAAAAGTGCTTATTGGGTTAAATTAACTTACGATACAAACATGCTAAACAAATATAATAAACCTGCTAAACCTGAGCTATGTGAGCTTTGTTATTGTTTACATGTAGCATGCTAATGTTAAGTTCAAAGCCCTGAAAGGTTCTAGTCTGTCTTCACATTTTCAGTCCTGTTAGCAAACAGCCAAACATTAGTTAGCAAACGTATAGGCTTAATTAAAATGTGAGGGGTTAGGGTTAGGGTTAAGCACAGTTTTAGATTTTCAGTCTTAAAATTGTGGGTTCAGTTTTATCTATAGGCTAGAGTTTTTTATGCTACGTAAACAGCTTTATGGACCTTGATCTGATTTGACAAACCTGACATGCTTAATGGCACAGATAATAAAAAGAAACAGGGAAAGGGACATTTAGAGTGGTAATACAGATGCTGTAACCTTGCTTTAACATTGGCCTGCTTGTTTTACAGCTCATTATAGCCGGAGTAATTAGCACGCACCGGGCCCTCAATCTTTATCTGAAATCACCTCTTGAACAGGAGCCAACAGAGCAACTGGATGCTGTTTAGCACCTCACTACATCATCACCTCTCCAGGTAATCGTTATCATTATCTTGATAACAGATGAAACGTGCTACATCTTTGCAAAACTGCTGGGTTTCGTGTGCAAATAGGTCAAGGGTTCAGGTCTTTAAAATGTAAAGTTACCATTAAGGTCTGTGAATCCAATGGAGTAGTTCATTTCAGTGGTGCTGGGGAGGGGTTCAGGAACTACTGTTGGTTGATCGAGACTCTGAAGGACAGAAAGAACAAAGCAGGGTGTTTGTTGAGCATTCAAAAAACATCTGAAGCTACAGCTAAAAGACCCCAGAGGCTCAGTGAGTTAATCTACAACATATTCTCAGTGCTCTGAAACATAAACCACGCATAAACATTATGCTAGAAAGTATGTTTACACGTCCAATATTACATCTGTTTTTAGGTATTTCACCTAACAGGGCTTCTATGTGTAATATTAAGCTCCACAGGCGAAATGTCAGTGATTTAAAATACCTGGGGGGGTTTGAAAACAACATCAAAGTAATCAGCAGGACTTCTCACTGAGAAAAAAAAAAAGTGTAATCTTCTCTGGCTGCCTTATGAGTTTGCCATTTGACCTCCCCTGCAGAAGCAAGTGTAATTTATGGCTGTTAGATGACCATAAAGAGTAATCCCCCCCCTCAGCCGTGTCTGTTGTGCTGACCGGTCTGGAGTGTCTGGGTGATCGATGGTGTGTGTTAGTAAGTTTGTCGTCTGTCTCTAAAAGAAAGAAGTCTATTTAAGGTAATATGGTGAAAGATTTAACCAGTCTGGAGAAAATGTGGTGTGTTCAGAGGGAGTTGCATGAAAAGAGTCTCTGTCATTTACACACTATATATTATTGCCAACACATGCATTATTTATATTGCATTATTGCAAAAACAAAGATCATCTGATACTGCAAAGAAAAAAAGGTCAGTTTTTATGAAGCTCTTGACTTTCATTTTTCAATTTGATCTATAAAATTCTCTTTTTTCTCTTTAGTGTTTTTTCTTCTTTTATACCAGCAACTACATTTGTAATTTATGCAACAGAGCAACTGATAGACAACACAAATTAAGAGGAAAAACAAGGGCAATAATAAAAATGTTAAAATAATGCACTCACTTCTTGGAAATAAAGCTTGTACATTTAAGTATTAGAAGTAGAATTATTTACTTATTTACTTTATTTTGGACTAAAATAAAGCAAAACAGTGATGAAGTACAATAACACCAAACAATAAAAAAAACAATGAGTAAATAAAGAAATAGATGGTAACAAAAAAACAAGCGATAAATATGTATTAAGATGTGAAGAGAAGCGCTAAAGAGGTGCTATCTATCTTCTTCAGCTTCTAGTTGTCATGACGATCGTGTTAGCTCACCTGTGTGAGGAGGTCCATCTCCCCCAGCAGGTCGGTGAACATGGCGTCTATGTCGTCCATCTGTTCAGAGCAACGAAAGACATGTTGGAGACAGAAAATGATTAAAAGATCAGACTTTGGCTTGTGACAAAAATACTGTTTTTAATCAATTGTGTGTGTTGATTCGCGCTGTGAGGAAGCAAAGAATGTCGTTGATTTGCTTAGTTGTCATGATGACAGAGAAGGAATGTGTGGAATGAAGAGGTAAATCTATCTGCACAGTAAAGTGTTAAATATACATGAAACAGCCGGCACTAAAACACAGCACTGCTGTCTGATTTTGAAAGGCGTGCAGTTGGATTTTGCCCCCTGAGGACACGTCAAATCTTGCAAAACAACTCCAGCCCAAACTCAGAGAAAAAAAAAAAACTACGTATGCACAACTTCCAGGCATTCATTTTTTTTTCCGCCACAACTTGTTGTGTCTTGTTGGATGTTTTGAACTGGAGAGTGCATCAATATTCCTTTTTGTATTCACAGCCTGAATCACACTTAAAATGTACTTTATTATTTCCAGTAGTGCCTATCACACATCCAGAAGTTTTGTTTTTTGCAGGGATTCTAAAGGTTTCACTTCACTGATGGGATTCTTGCATGTTTCTTAATGCAATCTTTTGACCTCCTGCTTCATAATGCCACACTGACACTAGTCAAACAGCGTAACTCGAGTTCAGTCATGACCCACACTTCTGCAATCAGTTCTTTGCCAATACAGACCCTTATGTGTTGAAATCATGCTCACATTACAAATGACCTTGTTCAGAGTTTGATACCATAATGCAAACCAAACAATACACACAGCCACCATCTTCAAAGGGCCGACAGTTTCAGTCTGAAGAATAAAAACAGCAGCAAAGGACTGTTTGTCTTGAAGATTCTCTTGAGATTTCCTTCTGTAATTATGTACAATATGCTGTCGCTCACACATGTTTTATTTGAATCCCCCATTCCTCAGAGTAAATGTTATGATGGGCTACAGTGTGCAGTCAAAACACAGTCCCTGTTTTCTTACAGTGGACTCTGACCAGTAGCTGGAAGGTGTCAGTGGGAGTTCACTCAGTTACAGTACATTGGTTTTGAAATGGGGCTTTACTTCAATAATTCCAGAATTGTAATGCGTTATATTGCAGCTTCTGTGCAGCTCCATTGCATGTTGATGATCTAGTGTGCCCTGCAGAGACTGTGCAAGTATTAAAATAAATTAAAGTATTATGGTTAAATACATTTCAACTGGAAGTAATGCTGCTGCACTGTCACTGCTGGAGTGGTCTAAACCGAGTTATGCCAACCACATTATGACTAAAGACTGCTCACATTAAAGTCACGCCTATAACTGTGGTTTTGTGGGTGTTAATATTTATTAACAGCCTTTTATTAGCTATGCTGATGAGCTACTACGAATAAGAAGTAATTTTTGCAAATGTACACATGGTAGCGTAGCATGCAAAAAGGAAAGGTGACCATGGAAGACAATACCTACTTTTAACTTGGCATGTAAGCATTGATTTTGTTGCTTTATTAGCATGCTCATATTAACATTTAGCTTGAAGTATAGCCTACTAGAACCTAACAGAGTAAGCATGGTTGGTGTTATCTTGAAAAGTTAAAATATATTTTATATTTTTATTTTACACACTATGCAGAATGATGGCAACATGCAATTATTCCTTAATTCATATTCAAGTGTTTGGTTTTAAAGTTTGGAACAAAATGTGAATCAAACAAAGTCTTTATGTTCTTACAGTGAACCTGTGAGATCAAGCAAACCAAAGTACTGAGTAGGGCTCAACTTGGTTCATAATGTTAGCACTGTGGGTGGGATATGTTGATTTTAAATCATTGTTTAGCTTAAAGATTTGATGTTTATATTTGAATATGAAGACACAGGTTAATATAAGGCGTAGTCAGGGTTACCTAATAGATTGGTGTGATGATGGTTATGGTAGCACTATTATGGCTATGACTTCATTACAAGCAAACCTCATCCACACCTTGTTTTTTTTACGGCTCTCCCTTAAGCCAAAACGTACAATTAGAAAAAACTTTTAAAAATCTGCCCACCCCTCAATCTCATTGGTTATCTGTCTCACAAAAAAGAATGCTTGCATAACTACATCTTTGTCATCTTCTTCCTGCTCAGCAGTACACGAGATATGAAAATATTTTTTCTAACAAAGTGTAACCCTCTGCTTTCGTTTATCACAGTTTGGAATCTGTTCAGTAAACTTTAAGATCCAACAGGAAAAAAAGAAAACATTTGCATTTGGATTTAATCAAAACCAAACCAGGACATTAGAGACAAAAAAAACAACCTTTCAGTTACACTCTCAAGTGTGACTGATGATGTTCCAGACAAAAGTTCATCCAGTGCTGCGACATGATGTTTCTAATTTGAATGTGAAACAGATCAATATTGCTCCGACATCTAACACATGGTGTGTGCATTTATGATCAGAAGCTTACCAGACACTGTGTATCCTCTGATTCCATTGATGCTTTTTGGCCTATTTTAGGAAACAAACTTCTGAGATACTGATGGTACTGAGCAACGTATTCCACAGTGACCACATTTGGTAGGACCACAGTGTTGGCCCATAATTTCCATGTGACATGTACATGTGGGACTTTAGCTATTGTAACATGCAGGCCCGCTCTCCCCCATTTCGTTAGACGAATGGTTTGCCCCTTGGAGGAAGTGGTGAAGGGTAACTTCCTGTACTGTTGAAATGGTGAAGGAAATGGTGAAATGAACACCCACCTGCAAACTTAACCAGGCTTGCTTTGCAACAATGAATAGCTTGAAAATAATTTGCATTGACATAGTTTATGGCAGAATGGCAGAACACTAAACACTTGCAGTCTCAATAGCAACACGTTCTCATTATAAATAAAATATTTCCACTATAATGACTCCCCAATTAGTTTAATTTCCCTCCTCTTCCTGTGGAGTCACATTTTGCATTGAGTTGTGACAACCGCGTAATACAAACAACATCTCAATGTAACAACCACAGAACGATTTTGGACCATCATCAACCGAACACAACAAGTAAACACTGTAAAATGTTGAGGTTTTTGTTTTTTTAAAGGACAAAGGGAAAAGGTGTTAAACTAGAGCTGGTTTCTTTTAAATCGCAAAAGTCTGAATGCCAGTAGGCCTTTAGCCTTTATTTACCAATAAGTCACTCAAACAACAATCTTCTGGATAGACAACTACCTGACTAAACCATGAATAATACAAAAATATGCAATTGTAGGCCTATGTGTGATCTGCAAACACATTTTTATCTGATCCTTTGGTTGCTAACTAGTAGCCTACCATTTGAGATAGTTTGAGCTTTCTGACACCTCTGTGCTAATTTGATGTAGCCTCCTTAACCAAATCAACTTAAGCATCCCCTAACTAACCGTAACTAAATTTTTAACCTTAAAGGATTTCCAGCATCAACCAACTTAGCGTAATAACCTACTATTTATGACCATTGTGTTTTTTTTAGCTAATTTTTATTTAAAAACAGAGCTCTAGCTAGCCCAGCGCTCATATAGTGAAGTTAGCCTAGCTTAGGCTACCCCTCCCTTTTCAGTGACTGATTCTAGAGTTGTTGTTTTTTTAGCTAGTTTTTGTTTTGTAGATTGAAATCTGAAAAACTTGATCCCTTTTCAACTATAGCTATAGGCTATTGTTACTTGTCTTGACATACACAACATGACTTGACCTGTTTCCAATCTACAGTCTTGGCTAAGCTAACTAGCAGATTTTATGCCTCTAGCTTCATCACACACGATTGTTGTATCAATCTTCTCATCAAACCCTCAAGAACATTACCCCACAGGTTCAGCTTTTCTCTGAAACAAAGAGCCATGACTTAAAAAAAAACCCCATAATTTTCTCAAGAATTGAAGATTTAGATGTTGACTCATGCTGAAGATTTTTATCAGGCATCCTGGAAAACGTTTATGGTTGAAGAGACAGTTTGGCATGACTCTCCCTATGAAAGAAAGATAACTGATTCATAAAGTGCTCTAAAGTGAGCTCTACTTTCCCCAGGGAGGATAAACTAATGACAACTGTAATTGTCCTCTGTAAGGTGGGGAAGAGAGGCCGTAATGAGATCATTTCATTTCCTTTAAATAACTGAATACACTGCAAAACAGAGCTGAACTTAAGATTCATATTCAAATCTTCTGGACAACACTGCTGCATGAATAACACAATCATCCAAAGTATGTCTCTGCCTCTTTGCAGAAACCGCTCTGAAATATGTGATTTGTCAGCATTCATGAAATATTACTGGAAACACTCTGGGATTAAATATGGCTGGTTTCCAAACCCGCACAATGCATTGAGAAAACACCCCACTGTACTTCTGGTATCCTGAGAATGAAAAGACAAAATATAGCATGCAAGCGACGTCTACATTCCTACAGAAACTGTTTGCCCATGAAAAATCTCTAATTTAGTCCACATATGTGTAACTCAAGTTTCAGGGGAGGGCAAATGAAAAACAGACAACACCAGTAAGTAGCCGTATTGAAGCAGAGCATGTTTACCATAATGTACATAACGAGCTCTTTTACTCGGATCAGATATTCATAAGGCAGACGTGTTTACAGAACTGACTGATCTCTACTGTAAATAAGGAAAATGAAGGACTCTGCAGCAGAAATAAGTATTGAAAGGCATAAAAACCAGGAATCATAACTGGCTTTAAACAACAGCAGGGTTTATTTGTACTTGTTGAAATCAGACACTAAGATTAACATTTACAAGTTATATTTACTTTGAGGAAAAAAAAAATCCCTACCTTGTCTTTAAATACATAAAAATCCCCAAACAACGTGACTCATTGGACAGTCAGAAAACATAGTTTGCTGGAGTTTCTGACATGAAAAGAGTACAAAAACACACTGACAACTAAAGCACTTTAACTCCACTGCTCCAAGTGGATGCCGTCATTTTTCACTGTTATTCAAGTTAAACAAAAGCCAAATGGAGAAAAATGTTCCTATAATTAATGACAAACTGACAGCACTATTCCATATTTAATATATGAAGCCAATGTTATCTGTCTCATGTGGTTATAGTGAGTCATACAGCAGTCTGACATTAAAGCCAGGTCCACCCATGTTGGAAGGAAACACTTATGAACAAACACCTTTCATCATACTAAAGTTTGCTCAATAATTCCTTTATAACAAAAAAGCAACAAAATTAAATCTTACTGAAACAAATAATTATGTGTGCCATTTTGCATGGTTTAAAAAAAAGTTTGCATCAAGTACAAGGATTTAAATCTCAACCTTTCACAGGATTTGACGGATCTTTAAGTCTGTTTAATGAACATTTTCTCTGGTGTTTCTCCACTAAACCAGGATAAACATTATCTGACAGCGCAGTACACCACAAACAACAAAGCTTCAGACGGTCAGAGTCATAGAGAGGCAAGCAGCTTCAGTTCACCGTTAACTGAAGGTACAACTTAACAGACTTGTAACTCACCTTTTCAAATGTTTTTAATCCGATTTTCACCAGTTAGTTTCAAGACGAAAGCTTCATGGAAACCAGCTCCACCTAAAAATATTATTCTCAAACCAGGCTCACCACCAAAAAACAGTTACATGCAGGCTCATTTGGGTGTGTTGGTGTGGATTGCATCTGTCGCTCTGGCTCTTCACTTCTTCCTGTTAAATGCGGAAGTTCAGGTCCAGACCTGTCATTGCATTCCTGCTCAGAAGACCTCAACACTTTCACAACGGTCCTGTCGAGGCAGCCCAGGGCCGTCCTTATCGCCGCCTTATCTGCACTGTACTGGAACTGTTTCAAAGCCACTAAAACCTGGACTTAGATGAGAAGACTTCTGTCAAGTTTGGTGTGACTTCAATTCAGAGGGGCTGATTGACAACTGCTTGAGCCGTCGATGAAGTCTTGGGAGGAAGGACAGAAAAAGAAATGTGTCAGTGTAATCGAGAAGAATGGCTGAATCAGCAGAAGGAGTGTCGCTCTGAGTTAATAATTCACTTTGCTGAAACTGATTTACAGCAGCTCTTTAGGCTAGTGTGCAAATGTGGCAGCGCCTATGAAGTACACTAGACTCCAGCTCAGCCCCAGTAATCTCAACTCTTCTAAAAGAGATAGTGTTACTTGCAGACACAGCCATACATTTAGAAATGATTTGCATAATGTTCAAACAAATCCTCTCTAGGCAAAACATTCTTGACTCAAATAGAAATACAAAAACAAAAAAAGTAAAAGCGACAGGCTTTGGCTGTTTACTTGCAAAGCAAACTGAACCTCATGTCATGTTTAGAAGACTTTTTAACTCTTTTAACTTAACTTAAAACAGTTTTCCAAATCCAGTCTACTGAACGTTTAACACTAAGACATGCAAGACTTACATGTCACTCACTTGTTTATCCTCTTTGTTTATTTTTTTTTGGGGGGGGGATTAAGAGTATACCCACTTCTTTAGGCCCCACTATCCCACTGGGTGTGAGCTGGCTGGTAGGCTTTGTTTGCAGAGAGGTGGAATGGGCAGAAGAAGGTCTGTGATTGGCACAACGATCCGGCAGAGACTGGAGTGTTGGTGCAGGGTTCTTGCAGGTGAAGTTGACTGCAGATCCAGTGCAGGTGAGCAGAGTGAAGAGGACAGATTGGGAGTGGGGAGGGGAAAACAACACACACAAAGCCCTCAGCACTCACACAAAAATACTCTGAAATTAGATAACACACACACACACGCACACACACGCACACACACACACACACACACACACACACACACACACACCTCATGCTAAATGAAGTCATGGAGCGGGTACTGTGACATTTACTTTGATCCATGTCACTACAAGATCTTCCTGTCTGTAAGGTTCGGGTACTTGATCCAGCTGGCTGCGGATGATTGGCCGTTCACTAATGAGTCTGGTTCTGCTCGAGGTTTCTAACTTTTTATAATCAGTGTTGCAAGTGCTTAAGCCTTGGTGTATGAGCTTTGGTCTCTGAAGCTAATTATACGAGGAGGATGACCTGCTTCATACTGTATGAAAAGTTAACGAGACAGCTTTTTTTTTTTTACGATATGGCTCTATACAAATTAAATTTGATTGATTGGTTGATACGTGCCCAAGGTGTAATCGGCCCTTGCCTTTGATAGATGAGATCCGCCTTATGAGCCGTATAGGATGGATTGATTGGTTGATAAATGAAAACTCTCGTCAATACAATAACCAATTTCTGTTGTTTTATTTTCCAATACTGCACTGATGAATGCAAAATTGCTTTCACTTGCCCTCCTTTTCTCTGCTCAAAATCAGGAAAGAATATCTCGAGACGCTGGTGCGGTGCAACAAGGTCAGTTATCTTCAGGGGGAACCAAGAAGAGTCAAGCTGTCAAGCTATGAATAGCCTCTGGTTCTTATCTGACCAAGCAGACACAGATAGCTCTATTTATTTGCATTTCTCCTTGAGTCAACCTGGGAGGCCGAAAAAACAAGATTTCACATCTTTATTTTTATAAATCTCAGACTACAGAGACTCCCTTTTCTTCTGCTTATATCAACATCCCCAGTTGCTATAACTCATTTTCATCTTCTTAATCCGTTTATTAGCCCCAAAATGTTACTTTCTGAGTACATTATTTTGCTTTGATTAGACCTTCTGTATTCTATTTCCTCCCACAAGACCGGCCTCAGTTCCAGTGGGAAACACAGACCACCCTCTTTGTGGCAAAAGCCTGTCATCACAGAAGAGCCGAGCTCCACGGGGGGAAAACCAAATAACCTTGAACACGTCCAAGAGAGCCTTTCGTGACTCGTGATGTATTAAACAAATAGTCGGGGTACAGGCATGTGTCCCAACCACCACTTATTTCCTGCCTCTCTTGGGGGTTGACAAACAGATGGACACCCAAAGGCAGGCTCCCTATTAGCTACAAATGTCTCCTAAACATGCTGGTGCCTTGGAGAAAATTTCTCAAATAGATGGACTAAATAACAGCTGAGAAGCTCAGGAGGAACGAGAGGAATCATTTTTATGCCTTTTTTTGTTGTGATTTTTACAGTCGCTTTTAAGACAGAGGGGGGTTTTATAGAGTAGATACTGATAATGGTTGCTTTGCCATGAATGCTTAAACATCGGTAGAAGATTGTTTTTTATCAGTCATTTGATTATTTTTCAACTATCTAAATGGCCACCAGGGTACCCCGTGCACAGCCTATACATTCTGAGGTCCGCACAGTTGCAGGAGCATACCATGAAAAATAAATAAAAACTGATTCTGCCAAAGATTTCTGCGTCTTATAAAGAAGTAATTTCTTGCTACCGTAAATGTTGCAAAGTGCTGTGCTCATGATGGATTAATATTTGTAATATAACAATGAGTAAGGTCTTTTTACCTGCTCTTTTGTAAAAATTAAATAACAATGAGTCAGGTATTTGAGCTGCTTTTTGTAAAGTATCTTGAGATAGCATGTAGAGCACATTTATTAAGACTCAACATTAATCGACTAGTGAGCAAGCTCTTTGCAACAGTTTAAAGAAAAACCTGTCCAGGCTGAAACCCTGAGCAGATTGAGAAACACTGGTTGACAGACGTCTGCCGTAAATAGATGGGCTGAGAAAGTTTGATAGAGGGAGAGGCAGAAAGACAGAATGGATAGAGACAAAAAAACAAACAGACAGGGACATACAAAATACAAACATAACTTACTTATAGCAGGAAAGTCAACAATAATAGACGATCAAAAGCAGAGCGTTGATCTAATTGTTCTTTACAAATAAATAAAGTATTCGCTTCAACTTTAATGCAGTAACAGCTTGCAAACACAAAAACCGTGACTGAAATAAAACCAGTATTTTGGTTGACTACAGGGCTCCAGATGGTAAGGTGTGAGGGCATGCCTTAAAGCCATTAGTCCCCGTCATGTTAAATCTGAGCGCTCCAACACACCTCTGAATACCTTTCCTGGGCTCCTCTGCAGTAAATGAAAATGAGGTGATAATGATAAAACCAGTGGGCACCTTGCAAAACCATAAAGCATTTGTCAAATCCAGTGCAGCAGAAGACAATTTGTCACTATGATGAAGTGATGAGTGATGCGTATAGGAGTGTTGTAGTGCCCTCTGTGTGTACTCGGCTGTACTGTACATGCCAAACACGTATGAGCTCAGTGGGTGGTGGAGAGCAGGTCATCGACCTAAGCTTCCTGTTTTCTTTGTGAAGCAACGATCCCCTCTGAATGTTTATACGAAGAAAATAATGATCTTTTTGTACGTATGCAACTCATTTAAGTTTCTAATCAGCCCTTTGTTCTTATTTGCCAACAGAATGCAAAAACACAATTAAAGCAAGGTTTTTTTTTTCAGTTCTTGATTAAAAAAAACCCTGCAGTGTACGGAGGCCCCTTTCTGCCATGTAAAATAAACAAGCTAGAGATGATGAAAATATAAACAGACATAGTTAATCAAGCTTTTGAGGTCAACATTTTGAGATACTGGGTCAACATTTTGGAATAATGATTGAAAGGTTAAAAAAGCTGCAGCAAAGGTAAACGCTGACATTTAAAAAAATGAGATATTAAGAGAAAATTATGTGACACTGAGAACTGAGACAATTAGTCAAAATATGAGATAAATACAAATTGTGAAATCGGTAAAAAACTAATATATATATATATATAAATATTAGTTTGAACTAGTCAAACATTAAACCTATATTTGATAATTAGGGCAAATTAAATCAAACTTTGTCTAATATGAGATATTATGAAAACAGATTTATTTTTTGCAAAATAAGTTAAATATAAAAAAGTATTAAAATAATGGAAGTCCAAGTTAATAACACTTAAGGGAATAAATGTGTATTTAAGGCATAGTCAAAAGTAAATGATACTGAATCAAAAATAGAAGTTCAAATGAGGTTTACAAAATCTATGGCACAAAATGTCTGAGGTTTTAGATATCAAGTTAAAATACATAAGTTGTAGATTATAAAGTAAAAATGTTTGATTCTTGAGTTTATGAGCTTCAGAACAATTTATACTATTTATACTCACCTGATTTTAAAATATCTACTTGATTTATTTTTATTTTTTGGCAAGATTGGACTTCCATACCAGACTGATCTTGATATACACAAACGGAAAATTAAGTTACACAAACATCCTACCACAAATCAGCCTCAGATAACCTCCCACTGACATGTGGTTGTTCTGAATCACTTAAATGAGAGAGTAGACCTCAGTCCAAAAACCAGCTGTGGGTTTTACATTCCTGACTTCTGCCACAGTCCCTCTAACAAAAAGTCTGACCTCTGTTGGCTCTGTCTGTAAAGAGGGGCGCTCAGTGTTGACAGGGCCAGTTTAATGTGGAGGACACTGGGCTGAGAACCAGCAGCTGTCTCAACATTCAGGATGTGTTAAACAAAAAAAAAGTGACATCTTCTTTTTCTTTTGCAACTTGGATGGCCATAAGGTCAGACAAGAGTCAACAGTGAGCCAAATGTAAAGTGACAGTCACCGGAGAGAGATGGCAGGAGTGGAGAACATTTTGTCTATAAGACAAATCTTCCCATTTGTTTTTGTTTTAAGATCATAAAAAAAACCTATTAATGCTGTGTTGCCATTTAAAAGCTGATACTTCCTGCCATTTTATTTCTAACAGGATACGTCCGAGGCAAGAAAGCAAGGAAGTTAAAGGGTTAATTTGTGGCCGGGGAAACCTGATGCTAATTAAGTCTTAGGAATGCCACATACTGACATTGTAGTGCAGGAGCCCTCAGTGTGGCTCAGGCATGGAGAGAGCCAGCAGCTTTTATTTCTCACAGACGGTCGGAAAAGCCGGACTCATCAAACCCTGGAGTTAAAGGTAAAATCAGTCTCTGGGTTAAAAGTTTGAGTTCAGGCAAAGTGGATTTTATCCCATCAGATGGACTTTAACTATTTTTTAGGGATTGTTCCAGATTTTACACCTAACTTGAATTTGTCTTATTTTCCAGGAGGAGAGAGAGTGAGAGAGATAACTTGACGCAAAATGGGTTTATTAACACCAGAGCTGTTGCTCCTGCTGTCTTGGGTATCACTGCAAGCTGTCGCAGAGATTTGCCGCGGGACGCACTGCTACGGCGCGGAAACCGGCGATCCAAGACCGTGCACCGGAGCGCACTGTCCGGGGAGCAGGTCCTCCAGACCGCCTCGGCAGTTCAACCCAACAAGTCAGGGGAGAGCTGCGCAAATAGTCACCAGCCAACAGTATGCGCACCAGAGCTTTCAGAGAGACCCTTATCCGGCTGGACAGCCTCTGCGCGGGCGGCACGGTGACAGCAGCAGCGGTACGCGGAGGAGAGCGCCTGAAGTTTACCCCGGGTGCACGGATCCGGACTGTGTCGCTCCTGTGAAACAATTTCAGCCCACAAATGACACCCGAGAGTGTAGAGGGATCGAGTGCAGACTGCCGTTCAGGATACGGCCAAAAACTCGAGCGAAGCCATGTGTGGGAGAGGGATGTTTGGTCGGTTCAGAGGAGAGCGTCTCTTCATCCACCGCCAGCCAGCTTCCTCCTCTCCATCTGTCTGACAGAGCCGCGATGTTCCTGGGAGATTTTCCGGAGCTGGGTTATCCGTCGCCAGAACTCGGCAGCGCGCCTTTGGGTGTCCAGCTCACATGTGACATCAAACCAGGTCTGCCATCCTCTTTATATGTTGCAGAAATGTGTGTTTGTATGACTATAGACCGGTTTAATTCTGCAACATGTCCTTTGCGCGCCATTCTGCCCCAAGAGAAGTTGATGAATTACTATACTGCACTGAACACAGCATGTCTAACCAATGGAATGACACTCTTCATTAACTTTAACCTCTTTTTGACTACAACTGATGACAAAAGGGAGATTGTGGTGAAACCGCAAAGGACTATTTTATTGACCTTAAACCCAAAATGATATCTGCAGAGACACCAGCAGAGCAACTGAACTGGAAAAATGTCTCAGAGTCAATTGTGCAGAAAATGTGGAGAGCTTTGATGTTGCTCCATAAAGGGAACTTTCTCTGCACTTGCCATTGTTTGCCCAGTTGAATGGGTTCACTGAGTGTTCACACATTTTTGCAGAACATTAGACTTCTACATCATTTCAATCTGATTTAATCTCTTCCTCTACTGCTGTGTTCATTGAATATAAATATTCCAACACTAATATTTATTATTTTTAAATTAAACTTAAATTCATATAGGTTTCCCCTTAAAGTCGTGTGATAACAAACGTGTAGTAATATCATTTTAAAGCCTATAGTACTTTCATTCTTTTAGACTTGGCTCAGTATAGTAAACAAAATGCTAGCCTTAAAATAACCTAAAATCAAGTCTACAATTCATCTAGCAGACGAACATCAGAGAGTAAGTTCAACACAAATAAGGATCTAGAGAGGAGGAAACAACGTCAGTAAGTGCAAACGAACAGCTGACAGGTGCTGACAGGAAGTGCACAGAGGCAAAGAATAACATCGACAGCTTTTCATGAAAGTTCTAATCAGCATCAAAACTATCCTAAATATTGTCATCATCGTCATCAATATCTCAAATCAGTAGGTGTTAATGAAAGAGCTGGGTCTTTAGCTTTTTCTTAAAGGTGCAGAGGTACTATGCAGATTGAATGGAAAACAAGCTAGGATGGATGGCTGGATGGATGGATGGCTGGATGGATGGATGGATGGATGGATGGCTGGATGGATGGATGGATGGATGGATGGATGGATGGATGGGTAGAGAGAATTTTACTGATCTAATCTCTCATTATCTGCCTCTCAGGTGAGAATGAAGTTCCCTCCGAAGATGCCCTCATTCTGCACCTCCAGCTGGCAAAAGGACAGGAGAAGCTGGTGGAGGCCATGAAAGCGCAGCAGGTCGTCATCCGAGACCTGCAGCAGAAGCTCGCCGACCAACAGGAGGCGCTACTTTCCCAGCAGAGGGAGATCCTGGGGCAGCAGCAGCGCATGTACGAGCAGATGGACGTGGTGAAAGCGCAGTACGGCCTCCTCTCAGACACCATCAAACAGGTTTCCTTCCAGGGTCTGCAGGGCGAGCTGCAGAGCTACTTTGAAAGCCACATGGCGGGTCTGCAGAGCCAGGCCCGCAGCCACCTGCAGAAGTCCTACGCAGTGCACAAAATGGACGTGGACGCCAAAGTGATGGATGTAGTCGGAGAGGCTCATTTCCCTCAGCCTCTTCTGGGATGTCCCACGCCCTGTGGACAGGAGGAGTTCTGTGATTTTCAGAAGGACCCGCCTCAGTGTGAGAAGTGCACCATGTGTCCACCAGGCTTCTTTCTGATCTCACAGTGTTCTCCGACTGCAGACAGGATGTGCCAGGTATTAACCTTTAAAACTCTCATTTTAGTCAATATGTCTGTATTTCAAATGCAAACAAAATGCAACACTTGCAGCTGATGGCTTATAAGTCTTTTCTAGCATATGACAGAAAATGTGGGAGCATTAAAAAAGCTGTTTTGGAGTAAAAATGTCACACTTTGCCACCGTGACTCATGCTTGAAAAAACGACAAATTTAGAAAAGAAACACACGGATGCTTTTCTGTTTTAGTTGTTTTTAAGTTATCCTTTAGGCACAAGAATACAAAGAGTGATATCAGCTTCCAAATATGAAGTCAAAGTTGCATTCCTGACAGTAATACAAATTTGTATTAATTGCAGGACAGAGATGAATGCCTTGAATTACCCAACATCTGTGGAGAGCGAGTGAAGTGCCTTAATACTCCAGGTGAGTTATGTTGGATGATTATTGTAATTTATCAACTGATTTTTCGGTAGTGGGGCAAAAATGAGAGCTGTTTTTACAGAACTCTGACATGCACTTACAAACCTTTTAGTTGCTCCTTTTAACTCTTGGTTTCTTCATTCTCTCTGGTCTCATCCTTCCCCAGGAGGGTTCAGGTGTCTGGGAGCTTCTGAGAGAGAGGCAGTGATGGGTCTTTGTGGTCACGGCTACTTTTACAACCCGGAGCTGCAGGAGTGTCAGGCGTGCACTGAGTGTGATGGAGAGCCTCTCGCCGTTTCCTGCACAGCCGTCAGCGACGCCGTCTGCGGCCAGCCGTCAGAGAGCCGTCTGTCCCAATCCTGGGCCGCCAATGTGGCAGTTCCTCCTGCCGGCACCCCTGGCATCAACATCTTCCCCGGGCTTCAACTAAACATCCGAGGCAAAGAGGTCACGGATCTGTTGTCCAATGAGGCAGGGCAGGTGAGGTTCCTGCAGCACGGCCTCGTCTGGTTGGACCATAATTTTGCGATTAAGCACAGTTGCAGAAACTTCCTTCAGGTGGGGATGAGGCTCAATGGGAGCCAGGAAGAGGAGGGTCAGGACCTCAGCGGAGTTCGTATTGAACAGCCAGATGGGAAATACTTCCAGGGTGTGAGCGTGAGCAGTGGGGTTGAGGTGGAGCCTAACCATACGTTCACTCTGCAGCTGAGGAGTCCCAATCACCACTGCAATCAGAGCAAGGATATTCACATCTATGATGTCAACACTCCCTCCTTCAGCCTGCTCTGGTTGTCTCATGATACCGGAGCTGTCGCCATGACGGCTCAGATGTCCCTGTTGGCACACTACCAAACAAGCTACCGTCCAACTCTCCGCCTGACCTCAGTCTCTGACCCGTATATGATCATCTTAACCCATGACAACCGCGGTGTACGCTTCACAGAAAGCGGGGTTGTCAAGTTTGTCTTCCAACAGGCTCTGTACTCTATGGGGAACACCTGCGTTCGAGAGGGTTTCTCCCTGATCGCCCACACTAATCAAAACGGGACTGGCCAGGAGGCGATGCAAGCCTTCAAAACAGGCGTCCACTACAGGGACACCTCCATCACCCTCTCTGGCACCGTCAGTGTGAATAGCGGGGACACCCTAAGCTTTGAGATTCAATCTCCATCCCAGTGCAACATCCGCTACTTTGGCGACAACACCGGGATCAGCATACTTAGTCTGATCTGGATACCTTCAGCAGTGTCATCAGCCCTGAGTGCCACGGTGTCCAGGACGGGTCTGCCCTCAGGAGCAGTGAGGAACAAACCGCTGTTATTCCATCAGATCAGCCCGGACACCCCGCAGGTTCACTTGGCCCGATCAGGAGAGCTGAGCAGCCGGAAAAACTTTATCTTCCACGAGAAAGGCATCGCGAACATAGCCCTCAACCTGAAGCTGATACACTCTTGCAATGTTGTTAAGCTTACTTTGCAGCAGGTTGGGGGTCAGGGCGGGCAGGCAGGTCCTGTGGCTCAGCAGGTGTCTGGACATATGCCTGAAGGAAGCCAGTGGGCCAGCATTGGGCTGAGGACCTCTTTCTCAGTCCAGAACGGTACCGCTGTCTTTGTCACTCTGGACTGCATCCGCGGACGAGTTAACCAGATAACACACGAGGGTGGCACTAACATTTCAATCCTCTGGGTTGCAGTGTAATCAAGAAGAGGATGAAGCAGTCAGTAATTTTATACTTTGAAAAAAACAAAAGAGAAAAAAAAGACACTTTTGCACATTATTGAATTGCAGAGCAGATTCAACAATTTACCAAATGAAGGATGAAAAACAATATAATTCATTTTTTACACATATTTGTATTGTTAGACTTGTATTGAGAAATTACCTTTTTGTGTTATTTACATGTAAGTACTGAAGTACTTCGGCTGGTTGAGCAGTGACCAATTCTTAATGGAAAGTTTGTGTGAGCGTGTGTGTGTGTGTGTGTGTGTGTGTGTGTGTGTGTGTGTGTGTGTGTGTGTGTGTGTGTGAGCGTGTGTGTTATTACTGTAAGTATGAGTGTGTATAAGAACATGTACAGTGGTGCTCCAATATGTATGTATTTGTGTGTGTGTTGGCACACATTGGCATGCCTACTTTTGCATAAATGTAGTACGAGTTGTGTAATATATTTAGAAGTGTATGTAACAAATCTTTTTTGTATTATATCAATACACATTTAAAATGATCGTTTGTCCTTTTGGGAGATGCAACACTCAAACTGTTAGCTTAGCTTAGCATTAAGACTGGTAGCAGGGGGAATGTTTTAACATTGCTTGGCCTGAGGTGAACTAAATTAAACCACCAACATTTATTTTGAGGTATCCTAACATTTTATCTTTCTTAGTGTAAAAAGTGTCCCTATTTTAAGAGGGCTAAAGCTCCAGATATTTCTTAAAGAACAGTTGAACCTCCTGATGTTAACTTTTCTTTCTTTCTTTATTAAGACCCCCATTAGCACCAGCATACGCATCGGCTATTCTTCCTGGGGTCAACACACATCCCTTTATACACACTTTTACAAAGAACAATATAACAAACAAACAAACAAAGACAAACAACAACACCAGCTCCTCTAGGGGAATTCAAGTTCATACAGAAGAGGAAATTAAATAAACGACCATCTTTTTCACAAACATTCTGCAGAAGAACACAAAACAATCGTCTTCAGATTTTCCTTCATACAAATCATATAATGTACCAATTCACCTACATTTTTACATTTTGATGAACATAAATCATTGTCTGAATGACCTTTATAACTAAATCTGTAACCATCCTTTTTACAGACATTAATTCCAAGAAAAGAGAAACAAAATACATTTCACATTCTGCCAAACAGGCACATTTACACCTTATTTTACACTCAATTTAGCAGTTCACTCACCTGGATTTCACAGCTCACACTGACATGCAGGAAAGACCCTTTGCCATGCTAAAACATTTTTCCATATATTAAACAACGATGCTCAAATAGGGAGAGAATAGATGGGGATTGATGAGATTTTCCATCCTTTGGGCAAAACAAAGCTTGCTGTTTTTTGTGTTTACAGTATTCATGCTAAGCTAAACTAAACTAACTAGATGCTCTTGCTCTGTCTTGCTCTGTAACCGCTGCGAGAGAGGATTGATTTTTCTTTACTGTCCCGACAACATATCGCAAAATAACATTTTCCAAAATGTCAAACTATTCCTTTACTTTTCTGAAGAGTATTTGAAAGAGCTATACACAAATGTTACATAGCCAAGCAAACAATGATATTTTATGTTTTTTTCACCATATTTATTTGAGTTTTATAAAACAGGACCGCAGTATTTACCACTATAGGAAGCACATTTATCTTAGAAAACAATATGCCATGTATAAAGCACAGAGTAGACAGTGTTTATATTCAAACACATTCATTCATAGCCTCTTTGCACACATGTAGTTTAACATAGTTTTAAGCAATGTACAAACATCACACTTTGTTATTCTTTGGCCTAAATGCTATTTCCCTGCAAAGTCGCTCATGCACATCGAGCTTAATTGCCTCTGTGTGTGCTCTGTCCTCTAAACAATTAGGCACAATTAAGTGTTTCAGGGCCTTGGCAGCGAAGGCGCCAATGAAATTCTTCAGCTTTATTTTCCCTTCATTATGTTCAGTGATTTCTGTTTTTCTGTGGTTGGACTCCCTGCACATGACTTGTGGAACATCAATGCATGCATTACTGTTCAACACCAAATAAAATGTAGATCTATTTTGAAGTACAAACACTCTAGTGAGAGTCAGAGTGATGTTGCTTTGTGTGTTCATTTAAGAAAACAGCAGTTTTAGAGCAGTTAATAGGATCTGATTACTTCTTAATCCAATTAGAAAATAAAAGCTTTTTTTTAACTTTTTTTGCATGGTATAGTTTTTTTAATTTGGTCTAATGCTTAAGGCTCCCATACAGCCACAACATGTGACCTCTTCTGTAACAATGATTTCAATATCTTGAAACTGATTTGTTGTCTAACATGACAAACAAGTGAACAGCTTTTATTTCCATTAAATAAAAGGGGAAAAGTTTAACAGTCAGACTGTACTCATTCCATTTAATCTCAAACATACTGGACCTATTTCAAAGCAACCTTATTCAGCAGCTAAGGTGCCAAAATTGCAGACTTAATACCTGGAAAATCATCCTCTCAAAACCCTCCATCTATAAACTATATGAAAGCTGTTCTCTGGATTCAAAATAACAAATGGCCTGTGAGTCAATGAGAGGGGAAAAAAAAGAAAATAGTCTGGTTGTGAACAATCAAATGTTTCTGTCGGTTGCCTGAATTGGAAACAGGTGTTTCAGTGGAGCAGTGCTCCAGATGTCTGACGCTGCAGATCAAATAAGACCCACAGCACTTAAAGAGTTTCAGAGACATCAGAGAGAGAAACTGGGACAGAAACAGAGCAGGAAACTAAAAACTGAGCGTTGGGTTGGGTGTGTGTTGGAAACTTTGAACCATCAGTATAGAACATTTTGATTAAAGGAGTTTCTAAGACAAATGAATTCTTGTGATGTGATGTGAGAGGCCTAACGTGTAGCATCAAAGCCTCGTAGTTATCCCCCCGTCTTTGTGGTTCCCCTTAGCTCAGCAATACTTCTTATTATAGCATCTTGGCCTTTTAGCTAGCCTCATTTAGTTCTGTTTTGGTTGTACCGCTAACCAAATTCTTCCTTTTAAACACAGAATTTCAAACAGCTGCTGGCTTTTTCCACCAAAATAGCTCGATAACAACCCCCTAATTTAACTTTCTTTGTACCAAATGTACCAAATGCAGCCAATAAAAAGCTGCAAAAGCTTTAGCTGGTATATTGGAGAGCTAGTTATCCTCTTCTAGAGAAGGTTAATGCCAGAGCTGAAAGGAGAGTAACAAGAGTATTAACAAGCATTCAAAATGTGGACAGAAGCTGGACAGGTGAAATGATCTCTGCTCGTGGGAAAACGTCATCATACATTTCTGAGGATGTGATTTATGGTGGAGAACGCTCTGCGGACACCGAGCAGCAGGTACAACCCTCTACTCCTACTCATCCTCCAAGACAAGTGACAAATTGAACTAATTAGAAAATTGCTAGCAAGCAAACACAGATTAAAAAAAACACCTTCTAAATTCATAAATCAAGATAAGTTATCAGCTATTACCTGCAACTGAAAGACAAAAAAAAGACATCAAAACTTCATCCTAAAGTTTACTTGGCCGCATTTGCCACCTCCGCGTCAAGCTTTGTCTAGCCTCAGGCAAGTCACGTCTTGTCTCAGGAGACCCCCCCCGTCTCCCCCGTCTCCCGTCCCATTGGACAGGGATCGTCTCTCGCTGTGAGGTGCATGTGTGAACAACCAGGTCAGGAGGATTTCAGGGGCAGTCCTCCTGAGATTCTCTAGAAAGTTTCAGAGGTACATGTGTGTAGCTCGAGTGTTTCTAAGGTAATTTTGACCAAATTTAGGAAATCATTAAGTTCACAGATTCTTTAAACATCCAATTTTAAATCACCAGGGGAAAAGAAGACAGAATACACATTGAACATACAATAATTATATATTTCCACCTTTTAAAAGGTTTAAGGAACTTGTTTGCAAAAACGAGTTACTCACCAGTCTGCAAGGTAACAAAGCCCACACGTGTTTTTTTTTCACACAAAAATTCACAAATTCAGTCACCAAATGTGTTAATGATGTAAAAACATGAAAGGTACCATGCAGCTGAAAGAACGTCATGCCAGCGTATTTTTAACAAAACACCAAGACATCATTCATCACTGCAGTGCATCTGTTGTGAGTTTACTTTTGCTTTCTGAGAGTTTTCGTGTGTTTGGAGTTCACTCAAACAATCGATGGCATGTGAGGAAGTTACTTCAACACTGCAGAATCTCCTATGATTCAGTGACAACTGTTTTAATAACTTGGCTAACAATATGTGAAATTCCACTCAGTTTTGAGTTATGAAAGGACTGAACTTTACTCTCTAAATGTGTATCTTCTTCATCTGTTTTTGTGCACTGAAAGAAATTCAACATGGTGTAACGTTAGTGGTCGCATCAGTCTCAGTGATTTGTGGTCGAGGTGAGCACCCTCCTAACCCAAACCTGGCCCCAGTCTGCTCCGGTGTTGACTTAAAAAGGACAAAGCCGGAGACAGGCCTGCTTTAATCAGAAGCGGATGTTACTGTAAGAGCCAAGGCCTCTTGTCTACAGGGAAATGTTTAGACCATGTGGTCAGGTTTGATGCTGCAGTCCTCCACGCTGTGTGTTACAGTCGTACTCGACGGCCGATTTATGAGCTGTGAGGAATGTCAGATTCTTTTTTTTATCCAGGTTGTGGGTTTCTTCAGGGAATCAATCACACTAAATAGACTAAATATGCAATTAAATCCATTTTGCATATGAAATGACTTCAATCTGGTTGTTTTTGTCTCTGACAGTGAGTTATACTTCATCCCAGAAAACCTCAAACAAAGATTACTCATTTTATAAATGTCTGGCCACATGTAAAAGAAAGTGCCACTAACCATGGGCATGAACTATTGGGTGACATCAAGTGGTACTATTTCTGGCAGGAGACTGAAGCTCCCTTTGGTGCCTGTGAGTCAAAAGTGTGGAGCTACATCATCCGGCCGGTTAGATTTCAGATGATGTCGACTGTTCAAGCTTCAAAAGCGCATCTTTGAAGTAGAAAGAGAGTTTGTTACTCCTTTTCTTCTCGACAACAAAGTGTTTCAAAATGCTGCAAAAATGTAGTGGTGGTTAATTATCAGACCTCAGTCAACTCTGAAGAGCCTGTACGCTCCCTGATTTGACAAATGACTATCAAGAATTATGAATTTTATGATTTATAATGGCCGGAAAACTGACCAAATGACACACATTTGCATTTAAGTCTACAGCCAGAGCAGCAGCTCTTCAAGGCTAAAGGCTGCTGTCAGTATGCTAACATGCTATCAGTCAAATATGTTAATATGATGTTAAAGAAGCGTATATTTAATTAGTTAGTCAGAATGAAACAGGCTTTTTAAAATACAAGTAAACATGTTAGCCTGACTGAAATTGTAATTCAATACAAATAGCTCTTAAGTCGAAAATTCCTGATTTTATAGCAGCATTCAAGCATCCTTCCCGATTGCATTATCGGAGAGAAGTGTGTGTAGAGTGAACATAAATGATTAGGTAAGTTTTTTATTATGTCTGTAAATATATTTTTGTCCGAACAAAAAGATGTTTCTGATCTCACAACACTGCTCCATATCATTGAATCCTGGTCGCCCTCCGCTCTTCATTTCACTGTGAATTCTTCACATCCTCCCTTTCTAACGCGTGCACTCATCTGTCGCAATCTCCTCCCCTCCGTGGTCCATCTGTGTCGGTCTTTTTCTCCTCATTAGAGAAATTACTGATGCATGAGGGAATGGGCTGGCAGGTCAGTGGCCACAAACACAAAGTGGGATTCAGATTGAACAGCCAGCGCATCGTTTCTCAGTCTGACACAGAAAAACAAGTGAACCGCTTATAGCACTTTAAATTATTTGGATTTATTTTGACACTGTCTAAGGAAAACCATTTATTTGATACTAAGCAATACTTTCTTTCTGTTTGAGATTTTTCACCTGCACAACTGGCATTTCAAATAATCACATCGGACAAGCTGTATCTCCCCTTTCCAGACTTGGCACGGGCTCCGCATAGTTGTCTCCAGTGTCTGATATTCCCTGATCACCAGGAATGCAGCTTTTAATTTTCTTGTTCTTAAGTTGACCTTAATCATGTCTGCGTCAAGGGCACTCCTAAACTCCAGAGCCACGGGGATCAGTCAGTCTGGGTGTGTTTTTGTGTATGGATATGTAAAGTGGAGCGATGCCTGTCCTGCTGTCCTCATGCAGATGCTGTTTTAAAGTGCTGATGGTGAATAATAGGTTGGCTGACAGTGAGCGAGGGAGTCCCCGCGGTGTACATTTAAATGGAGAAAGAGATGCTCTCTCATTCACACGAACTCCCCGGTGGTCCGTGAGGTTAATTGCTTTCTCCGCAAGGCGCTTACAGATTAACTATCTCACTGAATGCATCCATACAAATGACTCTGCACACACCACAATAAGTCTAGGGGAGTAGAGTGTGTGTATGTGGTATGCACAGGTAGCAGCAGGCTGCACAGCAAAGTCGGAGAAGCTAATGAGTATTACTGACTTTGAATAAGGTGGGCTGAACTAAAGGTGGGCTTGCAGAAAAGTGTAATAGTCTTGTATTTGTAGCAGATTTAACCTTGTGAACAGGTGAAATGAATAATCGAACAAGCAAACTTAAAGCTCCCGTGAGGAGTTTGCAGCTGGTTATTAAACAGACTGAAGTCTACATCGCTGCGTCTTTATGAGATACAAAAACAAAGAAGGCCATCACCATAAAATGTAAATATGCCATGAGGAATAATAATGAAGATTATCCCGTGGCTCGCAACTTCCAAAAAATGAAAGTCTTTTGAAGGTGGACGGGATTGGGCAGAAGTAGGGACCTCCATCTTGAAGAACTGCTGAAGTGAGATGTCGGTACATTTAGACATTTGAAAGGTGTCTCTTTAAATGTAACTATTGATTAACATGTCTAATTTATACAGTATGTGAGCATGTTGGGATGTAAGATCATGACTGCATGCTCTTTCTTGTTTCAATACTCATGTTTTTTTTAACTCTCTGCTACCCTCACTCTTTATATTAATGATCATGTTTTCTTACTTCTGTGGCACTTTGAGATATGTGATTTATTCTATTGAATATAGTTTAAATTATGAGCAAAACAGCCTCAAATAAACTGGAATTTGAACCTAATTAAATGCTAAGAGAAGTTAATATTTGTCATGCTTTTGTTGGATTTACACCAAGAATTTACTCAGTGTTTTACTCCTAACCCTCCCACTTGGTCCAAAGGCTCGAGGCTAACTTTATTTTTATGCTGTGCAGGAAACGAGTGGATTTAAAACACAATAAATATCAATAATCCACCTTTTCTATCTTCATCAATCAGCTCATTTATAACACCATATGTCAACTTATATTTGTTTCTAGCTTCATTCTATAT